TTTTTCTCTGTTCTGTTAAGAGGCTATATTCAATCATTAACTTGCGGTAAATAACTCTCTTGGGGTCTTTACTTTAATACTTTAATTAAACCAGGATTCTTTTCTTCTTTTTTTTTTAGGTAACAGGGCATCAGGGGAAGTCTAAGTTAGAGGTTGGCCATGTTAAACCTAACATCCCAAAATATGCTTAACGCATTTCATGTTGCAGAATGTTGCAGAAACAATCGGTCCCCTTCTGTGTGAGTCACTGTGCATGAATGAACCTCAAAGAAATGTTTTGAAGTTCAAGTTATTTTATCATCAAAGTGAAAATAACAGTAAGAGTTACCTACGTGAGGTTGGGTACGGACTTCACTTCGAAGAAAATCTAACATTTCCATATGAATGTTTTAATTTGATAAAAGATGTAGTAAAATGAACTAAATATCTTGAAAGTAAGGGGAACAGTGAAAAACAAGACTTGTGAGAATGAGTTGTAATGCTTCCTTAACTAACTTGAGTTTAAAAAAAAAAAAAATCAGAACCGAGACAAAGGGTCTAAGTTTATTTTGTTTGGTATCTTCACGTCATCTAGTTTCCACTGCGTGATACTCACACTTGGTACGGAGTGTAAATATCACCCCAGGAGAGGGTGATACACTCCTGTGGCAAATGTGTAATCACTTGCATGAAGGCTTTACTGGACTGAAAATGATGAATGTGGGACAGTCTTTAGAGGATCCAAAAGCTTTTATGTTGAACTTTCGTTTTGCAGTCCTCCCCCTTGTCCACCTTATCTCATTACAGCATTAACTTTGATTCCTCATCATTTCAGAGTATAATCCGTTCTGCCTTACCCAGACCTCTCCGTCTTGCACTGTGGAAAAAGATTCAAAATGCAAAACATAGACTATTGAGAACTATTTGGGGGAGACATTAGATAATCTCACAATAATACAGGACATTGATCGAATCTATCAAAAGCTGAGGAACTTAATATGACTATAGTCAAAAGGAGAAGAAAGCAAACTGTTTACTTCTATTTGCTGAGCTATAAACTGTAGAAAAAAGTTAGTCCCAAACCCCAGAGATGCTCCATCAACATAAAATAGTTTATGTATTCATAACCAAGGTTTAGAGTTGCAAAAGATTTTTATATTTTCTTGACCATTTTAGAGTGCCAGAATGTTTAGGCTCTGAGCTGACATTTGAATTTGAATTTCTAACCTAACCGATATTTTCCAATCCAAATGTTTTTAGACATCTAGTGATGTTTAAATTCCCTTCAATATATATATCAAATATATACAAGTGAATATTACTAAATACATTCCTGCTATAAGAGGATTTTATGTTCGCATAGCAAGGCGCTGTGTCTGTTATATCATATTAACACCCAGTTGAGCTTTTCCACATTTTGACACATAATTAACCACAAAGGTCAATGTATTATGTGGGGCTTGTTTGTGGTAGACCAAGACAAAGTGCAGTGGAAGGAAAACTGGCACATGCTCTTTTCAAGTCTTCCAAATACAGAACAAATTTTTATTAATATCTTTGAAAAACCACATGCGCTTTGCCTTGCACTTCATAATTCCTCCCTTCTTTGTGTTGGTCTGTCACCTAAAACCCTAACAAATCCCTTTTAAGGTTTGTGGTTTTACCATGACAAAACGTGGAGAAGATCAATAGTGCGAATAAGTTTGCAAGGCACTGTAAATATGTTATAACCAAAACTTCAAAGTGAGCACGCAGCAGTCCACACCTCCACAGGGATCAGATACAAAATGATGATGCAGGAACAAATTCGATGTGAGTAAGTCCCGTTACAGGGGCCAAGGGGGGCGTATTGCATAACTGTTTTGTATTGAAAAAAAAAAAAAAAAGGAGGATGCAGAGGTTTGCTGTTCTTTGACTCACCCACTCATCCAGTCAAATGTGTAGAATTGATCGGAATTTATTCACCACACTTTTTTCAGACCGTCAAAGTCAATGCGGAGCAAACCAAAATAGTAACAAAGTTTGTCTTCTCACAATGATTTGCAGAAGTCATTTTTACTAATTATGCAAACAGGTGTCTGAGTCAGACACTGGACGCTCAGTTTTATTCATAACAAAGCGTTGTTTTCATAAAGCTGATGCACATTCCTATCATTCAATATGTTTGGAAACAGGCCCCCCGGAGGCAGCTCACAGTCCACACAATATTGGCTGTCAGACAGGAAGGGGGTCTAAACTAATATTTTAAAGTCTCTGAGCCCCGCTGCTGGGAACGCAGATATGGCTATCTTTTGTAATTTTTTTATGTAATTTGGTTCATATTATGAGTATACAACTTGGTATGATACAGGCTGTCTTTACAAAAGCTAAATCGCAAACACAGACACACAGTAGATGTAGGACACAAACAAAGATTTAACATTCAAGTTGATTATTTAGCAAAAATAAAGTGAGTATAATATCTATGTTTCCATGACATTGGAAATATGTGGAAACGACCTTCTTTTAATCTGCAGAAATTACATATCGTTCTTACACGTTTATGTGTTTCTACACAGTAACTTGGACTCATTTAAAGCTTTTCCTGTGTTTGTTGCAAAAGCAAAGCAGATTGTGAGGCGAAATCTGCAATGAGACATTTTTTTTTTATATAGGATAACGAATCGTCACCAGTGTGGATTCAAATCTATGACTAATTTTACGCAAACAATATGTAATCAAACATTTGAAGGCTAGGGTTAGCTCTGTATTTGGATACTGGCACATTAAAACTAATAAAGAACTTTCATGTGATTTATATCCCATTTGGTAGATATTGTTGAGTTGCAAGAATCCTTATGGCAAAAATATCCTTTATATTTTTGCCATAAGAATGGCAAAAATATAAAGAACAAACAAAAAACAGTCACTATTTTGTGAAGATTTACCTATCTAATACATATACAATTAAATAAAAATTATGTAGCTAAGCATCTGTTTATACAATGGATTTTTAAAACTTAAAGTATACTTAGTTTCAGGTTGTGCAACAAAATTTAACATCTGCATTTAAGATGAATATGTAAAAAACATAGACATCGCTGATCTAAAGTTTCCTATTTTCCACAAGAATGCAACTTAAGGAACATAAAACAATGACAGAGTGAAAGGTTATCCTGCTGTGAGAATCTCAGCCTTCTAACAACTACTGTACAACCATTTTACCAAGTGTTGTATATTCATTTCAGGATGTTATATTTTCAGGGAACAAAATACAAAAAGAACGGCTATTTCTGGAGGTAAAAAAAACAAACATCTCCTCCTCTAAATGTGAGCCGGTTCTCAGAAACACGGTCCTCGACCTGCAACCAGCAGTGGATAAACACTCGGATTTATCCAGTGCTGGGAACCAGCAGTGGATGTGTAATATGAACATCCAACTAGAGAAAGTCTTTTTTGTTTTGTGCCGTTGCAAAGCAGCCAAGACATTCAAAGTCTTTTCCCTCAGGTGCACAGTGTGCAGCAAATACACTCTTATCAAGCTGCTCCAAAAACTGACGATGACCGGGTCAACAGAGACAGAGATCAACAGTTAGATTGGTTGGACTGGTTAACAGAGCTGGATGCACTATTCCACTTTTTCCTGGCCAACTTGATATCCAGTTTTCTTTGCCAAGTCCCAATTTGACTTAAATTTGACATTTTATTTCTAAGAGCTATCAGACATCAAAGGAAAAATATGTACATGAGTTTCTTTTGGAGAAAAGAAATAAGATTATCTTCATTGATGCATCAAAGCACAGTAATATATTTCAAATTAAACATAAAAAAAATGCATCAAAGTACATTATCGAGCAGAGGGTGTGGGGTATCTTACTTTGGATACATTTAATGAAGAGAAGATGGAAAAAGGGCTTTCCAGTGTCTGATCAATGTTAAACAAACCATGCATTTTTTTTCACTTTACCAAGGACTGAAATCAAGGATTTAAAAATCATCTTTTTGCTCTTTAGTGTTTTCTAAACATTCAATGTATATATTTTATCAATACTGCATGGGAACATAAAGAAAAATCAAAATCAGTTTTTTTTTTCCCAAGTATATATTCTAATATATTTTAATTTTGAAACAACTCAGATTGTTTGAAGGACTTAAAGCTTATTTTTAAAAGTGGTTTGCAGAAGAAGTAGCTTTTAATCCAATTGAAAATTTAAACAAGAATACCCTGTAATAAGACTGCGTTCCTAACCTCTATTGGATTTTTATTAAATTCAAAGAAATGCATCAACGTACGTGCTCTTGGTTAGAGTGAAAATAGAGGCGGCTGTAAGTCTTGAATCACATAATAAACAGTTTATTTTCTTTTATAATATCTGACCTGCCAGTCACTGAGCAGAGCCGTTCAAGGGAAAGTTGGCTGATTCTGATTCTTGCTGGATTGATTGATACTTATCTTTTCACAATTTTAACATCCACATTCCTGCACCTCTAAGAAAAGCTACATAACCACAGGTTATGCGGGGTTGGATGTTTTCTCACAGAAAATCCTCTATGGCATTAACTACCACATACTTAGTGTGGAAGCTCCCCCCACATGGAGCTTACTAAGGCCTTACATGTAAGCTTTAAGGTTTGGTTCCCTAAACAAAGAATATTTACATTTACACTGTATAGAAACAGTATAAGAATACCTAAAGCTTGACGGTAATTTCTGCTTAAAATGACATGTCACATCAGTATTACAACAGAAGTTGTAATTCTTCTACGACTTGTCATACTAACTGAAATGGGTACAAATATATATGTCCCACTGAAACTACTAACCCGACTGAATTCCCTGTTTTTTAATACTAACTGTACTAAATATTAAAGAATGTGGCTTTGCAGCGCATTCACTACGGTTTCTTCCCCCATACTGTCCAGCAGTAGCCTACTTGACTGCAGCACAGTTCTCCGCACCAACGCGAACGTGTCCTCCTCACATGTGACCGGCTGTTCTTTGCCCAATGGCAGCAAGTGATGGCGGGCATCACGTTTCTTACCTTCTTCACCGACTTCAGCGTCGGGACTGCGGTGAACGCCGCGGAGGGCATCTCTCCGACGTTCATGTTCACATCGCTGCTGTTCTTGCTGACGGTCAATGCGGAGTATTTTTCCGCGACGTTCTCGGTCTCTTTGACATATTTGGTGGCCTGCTTGACCTCCGTTTTGCTGTCCACTGCCGAGTCTGTCATCGCATCTAAGTGATACTAAAAGAAGGAGGAGATGAGGGGGGAGAAAAAGAGAAGCCGGTTGTCTGTGGAGTTTAAACTAACGTTAGCTCGGTCCGTCGCCTTCTTTGATCTTTGGTGTGTGGTTTAAAAATGACCGAACAGATTCTGAAATCTATATAAGTAAGAAGTAGGCGCTTAGGTCAAGTTTTCTGGCTTCTTCAATTCCCTAGAAGCGCTGCGGAGGCAGTTGCTGGTCCTGCGTTGTGCTGTCAACCTCAGACAGAAGCATCTCTGATGGGAGGGGGCGGTAGGCTCAGCCTGTCACCTGAGGAAGTAGGCTGTGTTCAGGCGGTGATCGTAAACACAGCGTTCCAACCGGAGGACAGGATTCAGAACAGAAAGACGGGAAATTGTATTCGTATAGAGTTTTTATAGTATTTACTTCCTACTTGTATAACTCGTCGTCAGTTTGCATAAAGTAAACCTTAGTCCCTAAAGCCTGTTTGACCGTTGCCAAGGATGCTGAGAACAAGTCCCGCCTTCTTTGCTATGATTGGTTGACTCTGAGATCCATTTAGACAATCCACCGCTTCTGATTTGCTGCGCTTATTATGTTTAAAGGGTCCTGAACAGGGATAGATTGAGAAAAAAAAAACAACACATTTTTAAATAGCTTCAGCCTGTTTTAAATGTTAATATAATGAATTGGGCAGGGTCGTCGGAGAGAGAATACTCGAGTACACAGAAAATACTCGAGATACTATGTACTGTTATGTATCAGTTTGCATATATTGAATGAAAACCAATAATAAAAAAAAGTAAAAATAGTCTGAAGAGTAATGGTGTCCTTAACATAAAAATAGACAATCTAGGAGTAACACGTTAAAATTGTATTTTGATTTGCTTAGATATTCAAGATTGACATTTTTAATAAAACATTTTTATAAAGCCTTAAAGAGCATTGTTTTGTGCCTTAGGTGTAGCTCCAAATTAAGCAAACGTAGGGATCTCACTCCACCCTATATGACAACATCCAAATTAAACTAAAGTAAACCTGGCTCTTAGTGTGTCACCCCAGAATTATAAGTACCCCCCGCCCCCCGTGCCCCCATCATACATTCCTTTGAAAGACTTTCTGCAGAGGCCACTGTACCTCTACAAAAAAATGTATTGAGGCCAAAAGGCTTTGGGGTCACAAATGGAACAATGGAAATTCATTACACAACCAGGTGCAAATAAACTCCTATTACAAATTATGATAACATTATTTTCCATCTCACATTTATTTGCAAGTTACTGCTGTTTGGACCTTCTTGACATGAATGGACTGTCAAAAATTAGAATAAATTTGTAAAGTGGGAAAAAAAAGTACATGACTTTCCTTTATTTTTCTTACTTAATAAAATTTCTCAAAGATTTAAGTACCCTTTTCTTTGATAATCATTTATAAAATCCAGTGCAACTAATTGCTACTTCCAATTATCACCCCAAATCCCGGGGCACAGTAGTGGCAGCACCATGCTGTGTGTATGCTGGACAGGGAAGCTGGTCACAGGAGATGGAATATAAATGGAGCTAAATACAGCACAAACCGAAGAAAAACTACGAGAGATGGCAAAAGCTAGAGACTGATGTGCAGACTCACAAGTGAAATATCTGAAGCAGATTTAAACCTTCATTATAAATTGCAAGCAATGTGTTTAGTTTTTTAAGAAAAAACTTAAAGCATGTCTATTTGATTCTACTTTATATATACATGCCATTGTGTGCCATCACACAATATCCCAATAAAACACATTAAAGTTTGTGGTCGTAATGTTACAAGGGTTCAGGATTTTGAATAGTTTTACATGGCACTGTATTTGGTTCAACTAAAAAAAAAAGAAAAAAAAAAAAACGTCTGCCCCAGTTAAAACTCCATGGGCTTTCCTTATTAGTTCTTAAGTAATGAAACAAACCATTTCATTTCTTAATAAAATTTTAATTGACATGTTTTTATGAAGACAATGTCCTTTTCACAATTTATAAAAAAAATATTAACATTGACAGATGCTGATGGATAAAAAATCTCTATCTACAAAGAAAAAAAACAACAACTAGGTGGACTTACAGATGAAAAGTTCTCAACTATACATGAATGAAGTGTGTATTACAAATAATTGCTCTTTTTTTCCCCAGCAAAACACAAAGTCCAACTATAAATTGTATAAAATGCATCCACAGAACAAAAGTCGTCCTTCTATACAATGTCTTCACATTACTATTACATTTCTGGAGCACCATGTACTATGCAGCCATCAGGGCAAGTCCAAAAAGTACATGGATTTAAATAATTACATTTTTATGTAAAGGAGGAATCAATGATGGAAAACAGCAGGGTAGCATAAAGTAACAAATGCGTCAGAAAACAAAAAATACAACAACAACAACAAAAAAAAAATGGTACCATTAAAAAGAAAAAAAAAATGTGTCAACTGGAGGCAGATCAACAAATTGTCAACAGACCAGAGTCTGAGTGTATGGCTTTGTGACTGTCGTTTTTTTTTTTTCCCCCTGTGTGATGAGTTGACGAAAAAAAGAATCTTAAAACAGAAAAACAAAACAAAACTGGGCTCAGCCAACATGATAACATCCTCCATTTTAATGAAGAAGACCAGAGAAGTCTCCTGGCTCAGCTGTGACACAGCCAGCTCCCTGGAAGACCAGTCAAAAAAGTTGAGAGAGAAAAGAAAACGCCACAGTGAAAGCACTGCTGGGTGTGTTGAGGACTACGGAAGAGTGTGTCGGATGGTCAGCTGGGTTGAAGAGTCACAGGCAGGTCATGATGTCAGGGAAAACGCTATGACACTCTGATCATCTGAGTCACTGTCTCATCTGTTGCTGCCGGGGCGATTTCCTGCTGCGAAAAGAGCAACCATTTATCACGAGAAGTTTTAACAAGGCTTCCTGCTAATTTTAAATGTCTTCATTTCATAATTTTGCTGACAAATTCTTTTTTTGTTTGTTTGCTTGTACGTATGTGTGTGGAACAGATGTTTAGATGAACATATTCAAGAAAATGTCATATAAGTACAGAGATAATTCCAATATGTAGACAATCAGTTGTAGGTCTAAACACATTTGTACAATGTCTTTTTTGGAAATGTGCATTTGAGGAAGAACTCGACTGCAAAACTATGCTAATGTTGGATTTGGCAATGTGGTAAAGCACTACTTCCCCTTGTAATTAGATAAGCACTATTTTAAAATCTAACATGTCGACAAAACCAGAACACATGCATTAAATACAGTAAATAACAACGTCAGATTTCTCTCGTTTAATCTGTAAAATTCACCCAAATGTTAGCGCTTTGCTAAACAAGACACAATTCCAAAATCTTTAAAAACATCAGGTTTACTTTTAAACCTTGTACTTCACAGGGAAGCCCAAAAAAAAAAAAAAACATCAACAAAAATGTCAACGAAATGACCCTTTTACAATTCTGTTTTGGGAAAGCATGGCTTAATCACAGGGTCTGTTTCTATCTTAAAACAGACAATGAGTTGGAATGTGACTAAAGGTCAACGTAAGAAGCTCTCTGTAAAAATTCTAAAGCTTATCTCTTAAATGATAAAATAAGAAAGAAAATGTAGTAATAGCATTTTCCATGCTCAGTTTTTTGTCTCTTATCCAGACTTGGAAAAATATAAAATAGAATTCCATTATTTCCCAGAGTTTTCACACATGCCTCGGAACATGCTTGCATCTCAAATATGAAATTACTCATCCATTATGAAAGCCTAAAAATGTATGACAGACAAGTTGCAACTTTGGGGTTTGTCTTTTCTCCCCCATCATAACTTCTTACTTGCGATAGGCCTAAAGCCGCCTCCTCCTTTTCTTTAGGGGAAAAGAACCGCCCTCCGTCTCCACGCTTACGCTGCATAGCATGACGGTGACGAGACTCGTGTAGATATTTCTGCAGGAGGCAAGGAAATTAATTTTAAAAATTAATGAAAAATTTTAATTCATTGATTTATTCCCGTATGTATTACTACTAGATAATAGAAGATCATACCCCAGCACCAGAAGTTTTCTTTACTTTTTTCCATGATGTAAAAACAGCAAGCTTCTCACCATGTTCATAATAAAGTTTGATAGTTTGTGTTTATTTGTTTTGAAGGAAAAAGAGAAAAACCCACACATGCTGCAAAATTTATATTTATATTAAGAATAAATGGCATTCTCTCAAGTTAATTGGCTCCATACCTCTGACCCCTTTGCCTATAAATACGGGTCCAATGTATTAAGATCAGGTACCCATAAGCCCCGTTGGACTTCAGAAGATAAGTGATTATACCAAAAAAGATCCTAAACAGACAATATGAACAAGTACACACACAGTCCTATGGCAACATTACACTTTCCCTCTGATGCACTTAGACTACCTAAACATTGCTACTACACTGTGAAACTGTGGTATTTTTACTCGTTTTGTCATACTGCAACAACTTCCAACCGTCCCGGCTGGGGATGTGAAAAACAAACCAAGATGGAAACAGTTGCCAAAATAAATTAGTGCAGTTCAAAAACAGTTCCACCATTTTCCACTGCAGGTTAAATATCTGAGCCATTTTCACATAAGTACAAGGTACTAGATAGACAGCTTATTCAAGAGCCTTACTGACGAAAAAAACTATAAAATAAACTGTAAATAAACTGAAAATAAACTGTAAAGGCTGTTTATTGCAGTTTTTCTCTAAGGGAAACAAGAACTGCATACCCTCCTCTCCTTGGGGATCTTGCCCTCGGCCTCCAGTTTGGCCCGGGCTTGCCTTCGCTTCAGAATACGATGGTACTGTTTGGCGTTGACGTACAGAGGCTCTTCCTCCAGCATTTCGGCTCCTGGGAGGGGGATACGCTGCATGGTGGGAACGCCGCCTCCACCTGGCACCATCTGATAAACACAGGAAAAGAAACATGAACAAAGTACTCAGAGACCTTTACCATGTTTAATACTTAAAAGTATGCAGATGTATAAATCAGTCACGGCACGTTACCATACAACACTTCACAGCCATCACACCTTTTGCAACTAAACGGACGTTCTCAGTTTAAGTACTTAGTTTTAACAGAGGGAAGACGCTTTCACAGAGTCAGTCAAATAGTTTTGCAAATCAACAAAAGCCCCAAAAGGTGGACCATGTCAAATTAAAATTGATTAAAATCTATTAGTCTTATGAACATTAATTATGGAAATACTAGAGGAAACACATAGCAGGTGTGATGGCTCATGAGAGTATAACTTAACATATTCAGACAACACTGAAATGATCCCAACGACCTCTGTGACAAAACCAGAAATTGGCTACTGTTGGTTCTTGTTTTCCCCAAACTCTGCACCCATAGGTCAGTCTAGATGTAAAAAGACAGAAAAAAAAAAATAAAGATGCTGAGTACCTCTGCACAGGGTCTTACCATGACCATTCCACCTGCATTGACCATGTTGCCGGAGACAGGCAGGGTGACGGTCACAGTGCCTTGGCCGCTGTTGGTAGTGTTGGTGTTAGCGCCCCCTGTTGCTTGCACTATCTGGGCACCTGCCAAGCTGGCAGCGGGGATTGTGATCATTCCTGGAGAGAAATAATTAGCACGGATATTGTTCAGACTCGCAGCTAAAAATAAATAAATATGCTTATGAAGTTTACACACAACAAAAAAAAAAAAAAAAAAAAAAGGAGAAGAAAGAAATGTACCCTGCTGTAGAACAGAGCCATCTGCATTGACGGGCTGGTAGACGATGGTCTGCCCGTCAGCTGTCTGTGCCACCTGTTGACCCTGTACGCTGATCTGCTGGCTCTGATTTACAGCATAAAGAAGAGATATTAGAAAATATAGACTCCCTGTACTCATTTTTACCCTTTGCAGGGAATTATCTAGCAGTTTAGCAACTGAAATGTGTTTTTAAAGGACAAGTCATGTTTGTGAACGCTCCAGGGCAGATTACCAGTGATATGTAATGATTTTAACGGTTTGCACGACCAGAACAGCTAAAATGTTCTGTCATGATGTTTCTATAGAGTAAAGTCTGTCAAAATGAATGACCTGGTTCTGTCCAGCTGTGATGGCCGTCTGGGGCTGCTGGATGATGATTTGCTGAGGCTGACCCTGCTGGCCCTGGAGCTGCAGAGTCTGACCACCTTGCAGCTGTATCTGACCAGGCTGCACCAGCTGGATCTAAGGAAACAATTAAATGCATCTCAATTGATCATCAATACCATAATAAAACCGAGACAAAAATGTTCTCATCGCTATAAACGTGGGCAACATGTGACATTACATTCTACGACTGTTAAATCTAATCACGGTTCTTCACGGACACTCGTCTTTTACCTGCTGCAGACCTTGAGCTCCAGACACAGGAACCTGCATTATGGTCTGCCCTTGACTCCCAGACATGGCTTGCACCATGATGGGCTGGCCTGACGATGTGATGAGCTGTCCGCCGCTCACCTGCACCATTAGGGGCTGCCCCTGCACCTGCAGAGAGGAATACAAAGCTGTTAAAGTGGCGTCAGCGCCAACATGGGACATGAAGGGCTGCATGCAAGTAAAATACAGCTCAGCTACGCCAAACTTTGGAGAAAACTGGAAATGTATCACTGTGAAGTTTTGTCTCCTGAATGTACAAGTGTAAGAGAAGATGTGTGCGACTGGTAAGGATGAACTTATAAACTCTTAACTTGTATAAAATGTATCTTGTGGAAGAAAATAAGTCTCAAAGGAAAAAGCCTGAGAGAATTCATCAGTTGTTATAATGCAAATAAAAATGACACGACAGAGACAACATCATCATTACAGCTATGAATGAGATGCAGCTTGCAGCAGTGACAGTGGATGCATCCTTTTCAATGCTGAACTCCATATAGTTCGCATTACTCGTGCTTCCAACAGTACATCGAAAAAAAACAAGAACGTTTTGAACTTGTTTTTTTTTTGTTTTTTTTTTTTAAAGCAGAGAAAACACAACTTAGACAAAACACAGTGACCCGTTTTCTGTTTTGTTTTTTTTCTTTCACAGCCATTGGAGGAAAGCCGCACACACTGCAGGCTGGAAAACACAACACAATGTGCTGAGGAACATGCAGTACAGGTAGTTGCAGGAAATGCTGGAGGCGGGACAAGAAAGACGATGGTTCAAAACGCCACAGACAGGTCATGAGAACAGCCCTGGGTACGGCATGCAAACTGGTCACTTATTAAAGCGTTACTGCAGTGACAGGGCGGCTGTGACACCACTACCTGGAGTGTCTGCACCTGCTGGCCCGGCGCCTCTGCTTGCAGCTGCACAGCCGTCACTGTGCCTTGTGTCTGCAGGCAAGGCAGGACGTTACACTCTCAGACAAGTACGGTAAAGCCCAGAATTACTCATACCTTCGCCGACTGATACTTCAGTCATCTTTGTCTTCTGGATGGAAATAATTAAAGCACAATCGAGGACGACGAGACGTTTTGTCTGCATTATCTCGAGCCTTGCGGCTTTATATATTAATTATTGTTTTGAGAAAAAGCTCTTAAGCTGCCTGAGTATTTTTCCGCAGACTGGATAGTTTTTAGTACAATGTTTTCAAAAAAATCATCCACATTGTATCCACCAGCTCTGAGAGGATCCTGTAGAAATCAGGTACCAGCAGCGACTCGTATCAGAATCAAACTGGTCACTTCAAGACACAAGTGGATTAGGTCACTTGATAAAGGTAAAGGTCTATAGAATCTATAGAAAAGCAAAGCTATCAACACTGTTTTAAAAAGCTAGTCATCAAAAACAGTTAAAGTGCTCAAAAAAAATCTGTAAAGATTAGATTAATGGGATAAAACAACTAAGTTCCACATTACAACATTTATAAAAGATGGCTTTTGTAAACAAGCCTTAGACATAAAAAAACAACTGTATTTTGTAATAATCAACTAAATATAAATGAAAACCATGACAAAGTTTTGGTCACTTTTACAACAAGGAACAGCCTTCCATGTAACATTTAAAACTGACCTTACATCACTTCACAAGGCTGTGGGAACATTTTGTTCTCACTATGACAACCAATGGTTGAACCCGGTAAGGAAATGCGGTTCCGTGACCGACGAATCGTTTATAAAGCAGGGTGTCACTCCTGCTTGGATCATTGGTCATAATTTGTCATGATGTCATTTTCCAACCAAAATAGAACTAGTCACTGGTTCTGGGGATTGTATAATATAAAATATCCAGAAATATTCAACAACCAATAGGCATCGGTTAAACGCAGTGGTCCAAAATGGAAGTGACAACAAACAAGCTAGTGACACATAGGAATAAAAGTAAAATGGACTGACGAATTAAAAGACGAATCAAACCGACCCAGAATCCAGATAAGAACAATTTGATCATTGTATCAAGATAAAGGACGACAACTATTACTGAAAGAACCATGAATATGTGTAAACATGGCATTAAATACTGAAATTAGAACTGCATAACATGCCAAATTGCAGTAGTAATTGCAATATCACTGTGTGTAATAAAATAATCAATTTAATGGATAGATTCCAGTCTAATATTAAAGCTTTTTGAGAGAAAGGTGAAGACATTGAGAGATGGTAAAGGCAGAAAAGAGTCAGAAAATGTGGATTAATTAAGTTATGTCATCACCATTTTGAGCAACAGGATCAAAAATAATATTGTGCAAACCTTACAGAAGTGTATTTTTACAAAGTAAAATGTTAAAAGATATATTTTAGACATATGCTGAAATTTATATTTTTTAAAAGGATTTATTCATTTATTTGAAATTATTATATTCAGGTTAGCTTTTTTTGAAAATTGACATTGGCGAATAATAAAAAACAAAATGGCTGAGGAATAGCAAGATGCAGGGCAAACAAGAAAGAACAGTTTAAAAAAAACAAAACAAACAAAAAACAAAAACAAATTTAGACCATCATAAATCAACTAAATCAGATAACCTTTGAAAAATTGGACGTTTTTCCTGTACTTTGTTACGTGCTTTCATTATTTCCTGCCAGAAAACAATTCACTTAAAATGTGGTTGAAGTAACCTTGGGCTTGTTGATAAATATCAGAAAAATAAATGTGGCTTCCTTGAGGGCTCCTTTTATCTGACTGCTTTAGAAAATAAAATGTGATTAAAAAATAAAGTAATATTAAATAAACTGCTCAAAGTGTGGTCTCACCTGCTGCTGGATCTGTCCATTAGCAGTCTGCACAACAATCTGCTCCCCTGTTGTAGTGGTGGCAGTGGTGTACTGCTCCATGCTTTAATATGATCAATCCTCCTGAGACAAAGGCATGCACAGTTACACAGTTATTAATACATTTGCATATTTAAAAAAAATATATATATATATATATATATTGCAAACAGATGTTGTACCAAACAAACATGACTGTCTTTGCTGATTATTATCTCGTAAAATACGTCGTTCTTTATTTATTTATTTTTTTTAATTTTTGCTGTGTTTGGTTGCTTTAATTTTAAACACGCAACGCCTACTTATCTTAAATAAATTCAACAATGTACCTTAAAAAATAATTTTGATATCTGAAACAACATAGGAGAACAAGACGGGCAACATCTATCCGTGTTTTATTCACTGTTGTAATAATATGGGGCTAACAAGGCTATGAGAGCTAGCTGTGAGCATGATGGTAAATTCTAGAAAGCACAAAATGGATGCTCGCTATCTTCAAGGGAAAAGTCGGGCGTTTTGCTTCTTGTTTCAAACTTTAACTACACATTAGCTGGCATACTCGTCCGCTGATGAGATTACGGCTTCATTAGCAAACGCCGCTTTGTTTAACACTCATTTTAGCACAAAGGCTAACATTAGTGCAGCAGGGAGCTCATGTTTTTTCCCCCCTGTAGCCTAACACCGAACGAGAAGACGAAGGTCTTTGTGGCTAAACAAGTCCTCGGACACAGCGGTCAAAATTACTCTCAAATGTAATTTTTTTCTTGCATTAAGCAGGGTTAGTAATTTGGTTGGTCCATGACAAACCAATCCGTGCTGACAACTACCAATGCCTTCAATCGTGGCTCCCTTACCGTATCTTCACTGTCCGGTTTCCCTCTGATTGGCTCCAGTACAGCTCGCTAAAACCCAATCAACAAAGTGAGCGGACAAAATGGCGCAAATGAAACAACGGCAGCTGGGAGGAGGTGCGCAGCTGCGTGACACATGAGTACAGGGGACGTATCTAGTTGCGGTACCCCTACCTACCACTGGATGGTGCTACATTTGCCAATCATTAGGTGCCATTAAATTAAAATCATGCTGCAACCAATATGCAATACTATTTTTTAGTCGTGACATAGTGATACCTGGTATATATATTATTTCCAAAATACACTCAGTATTTAGTGTATTTTGGAACAGTGCTGTTCACTGTTTGATAATTTGCAGTGAATTCTCCATTCACATGTAGGATACAATGGGACAAAGCACACACACACACACACCCGCGCGCGCGCACACACACACGCACACGCACACGCACACACACACACACACACACACACACACACACACACACACACACACACACAACTAAGGACCAAAGATGTTGCAATACATTAAATAACTAATTTATTAGATACATTTTGAAATGTGATGTTAAAGAAAACGAAAAATTAAATTATCAAATTATTAAAAATACAAAGTTTTATCTCTCAGATGTATTATTATTATTATTATTATTATTATTATAGTTCCTTCACTATTGTATAAATTATAAACAACTCCGATAAATTGAACTAAGTACCAAGTTCTGGTCATGATCTATACTTACAGAATCACACTAACAGTTTAAATTATGTAATGGTGAAGATTAGAGTTAGTACTTAAACAACACTTAGAGTATCACTTAGAGTAAGTACAGCTATTTTAACTTTTAATTCATTATTTTGTAGTGATTTACATCTATTCAATAATTTATTCAACAAGTTGTTTAATATTTAGGCAAGTATAAGCATATTTATATTTATTTAATTCAGTGTCATCATGTATCATCTATTTAATTGTAAGCTCATTAAAATTTGGGACATTTGGACCTTGCTCAAATTAATTTCTTTCGGGTTTACGTTGGCGCTACACCAAATGTCCTCCGTCCCGCTAGGTGGCAGCACTGCATTAGTTAATAGCACTGAGTTGTGTTTGCGGAAGTAGCCACACTGTGAAGAGCGCATGTTAAGTCAGAACCAGGCATTGAGCTTTAGTCAAGGTCTCGTGTTTATTCTACGATAAGATAAACGCACGCTTTGTATTAATGCAAAAATATTATTCGTTCATTCGGTCTTAGTTTATGCCGACTGTCAAAATCTAATCTTTTTGCTAGTATTGCACTCTGATGAAGCCCGTCCGTCTATGAGCATGGCCCGACCTCTTCAGGTCTGTTGCCTCCTCTTTAGGTTTTCTGCTCCCTCTTTGGCTTCCCCCGCTTGTTTAAACAGCGTCAGATTCTCCAGCAGAGGCAACAGCAAAATCTGGGTGGGACAGAACCATGTGAGCGGAGACAGAACCAGATCACAAATATCTAGATTCAACGATGACGTAGAGCCTGACCTGGAGGTGCTGGAGGATAAGCTCCAGGCTGTGCTGGAGTAAGAACCATTATACATTATTACAACTCCAAAACATATTCTAAATGCAAACACAACGCTGGGTGATCATTGTAAGCAGCTTATCTCATGTTTCTTTTCAGCAAAGAGAAAAGGAGACAGCGATCAGTGAAGTTTAATATGATAAGAAGGAAAATGACTCCACCAGGAGCCCCCCAGAGGAAACTAACGTGGGATGCTATTGAGCAAATAAGGTGACGATCTCTTTGTGTGTGCTACATTTTTTTCCACCCAAAACCTAAAACTAGAGGCAAGATTATGGTGAAATTTCACTATTAGACCAAAACCTGTGTATGGGGAATGTTGATTCCACTCCTATACAAAAAGTAATGTTGGTTTTGTGGCTCTAAACAACTATTGTTTAGTAGAAGTGAAAGTAAATATGACTTTTTAGATTGCTGACATTTTTCACACACTTATTTCAGATATTTGAAGCAAGAGCAGCCAGAGGAGTGGACGATAGAGCGCCTCGCTGAGGGCTTCTCTGTCCCCCAAGACGTCATCCTCAGGGTCCTGAAGAGCAAGTTTACTTCGTCTCCTAACAGAAAAGTCAAACAGGATGCAAAAGTGATGGTTAGACTCAACCAGCAGGCGTTACCTTCTGATAGCAGGAGGCAGGAGAACAAACTGAAGCTTCCTCAAAGTCAAACACCAGCCACACTCATACCTGGGCAGACAGAAGGTGCTCTGATTTCTGCGACTGCTCCGGCTCAGGTGATTCAAAGTAAAGGTTCAGCATCTCTTGTTCCTGTTCAGCCTCCAAAGCTGCCAGCTGGGACTTACAAAGCGGCTAGAGTGACGGGGTCAACGGTAGGCGGGGATGGTTTTGGTACAGAAGAGGTTGAGGAGGAGTGGGAGGAGAGCTGGGACGGGCAGGTTCTGACAGAGGAGGAACTTGAGGAGATTCTGGACATGGACAAACCTGCGCCTGTGGTGCAGGTGGGGAGCGATTTCTTTGATGCAGAGGGAAACTTTTTGTATAGAACCTGAGGACAGAATGAGTTGAAATGCTGAATGAATATGTGTACACTGAAATTAATGGAATAATTTTCTTAGAAATGATCAAAATCCATGGAATTAAAATTTTATATTGAAGCCATTTGTTTGCTTTTTTTTAAATATATTTGTTTGTTTTTTTTCATGTTGCAGTATTAGTCCTTTTCACATTACAGCCACATATTTTATTAGAATTTAATAAAATTGATTTACTCAGATTAACACCTAAATGAAGGGAAAGTAAATTAGACATGCTTTAAAAAAATGTATTCAACAAATATGCAAGAATATGCAAAAGGTATTTTTGACATATGAGAGAAAATGTTAAGCTATCCAGCCTGAGGGAAAACAGGTTTTCATCTCTACAAAACCTTCTGAATCTTCCTTCTCCCCAGATTTAAATTCTTATCTAATATTCATATGAGTTTCAGTGGTGTAATCTGCATAAATATGTTCTTAAATAATGGATGCTTGCTGAAGGTGTAGATTTATCTAAAAACAAACTGTTAATACACAGTTTGCAGATGTTCAAAGTCAGGATCAGAGATTAATGAGTGTTTAAACATTTCCAGTGCCACATGTCTCAACCTCATCAGGGTTTAATAAGACACTTTGAAATACATTATTCAGACGCGCTCATTCAAAGCTCTTTGTATTGTGCCACACTCGTATCAATATCATTTATCGCAGGAAGAAGTCATAGCAGCAACTTCAGTCTGAGGCAGCATAACCACATCCTGCAGGTGTTGTGTTAAATTTGCCTACCTGCAGAAATCTCCAGCTGCTAAAGTGCATCTTGATTTCTGCAGGTTTGCTGAAAGCAACCAGTGATGTAGGAGTTTATTAGAATAAAGGGTGTTGAGTATCAATGCATGCCATACTTCAGATTTCAAATTCTACCTCTTCCATTTTAAAATACACTTTTCATTGTGATCACATAAAATCCCAAGAAATTACAGTGAAAGTTGTGATTGTAATGTCAAATACGGATTTAGTTTTTACATACAAGCTATTTGTCAAAGTGTGAAAGAGGGTTTCAATGTCCATTACATGTTATGCAGACATGCATGCCAAAACCAAATACAACTGTTGCTTAAACTAGATACAATGCATTGACTAGTAGCTGACTTCTGTGTGCACTTCTGCTCCAATAAGGTTTTTAAATGAGCATAATGTCAATATGGAGTCTACTACATCAACTGTCGACAGTGACACAACAAAACTTTAAAGAATTTAAAGTGCATTTAAGACTTTAGAAACATTTAAATTCCAGTATACAGGATTTTAAACCATTAAACTATTTTTAAAAGTTTGTGTTCACATGAAATGACAAGTAAACACAAAAAAGAGGAACATGACTTTATTGCCAAACCCAAAGAAAATAGCCTCCAATATACAGAAAAGAGAAACAGCAGTTACAAATGTTCAAACTTGAATATTTACACAACCAATCACAAAGACTCTTTAAAATCGATACATCAGTTCGAAAATGCAAGGAAAACGTGTTTTCTTCAACACAATGCAATAAAGCTTCATTAAATAGGTCTCATTTTCCAGTGTAATGCAGCTACATAGTAACCTTTTTCTCTTTTGAACTTAATTTCTTGTCAAACCGTATCAGCCAGAACCAATTTTAATATCGGCCCCCAAAAATAGTTTTTTGCTTAAAAACCTTTTTAGATTTAAGTATCATTCACATTTTTTTTTACATGCAGTTTAGCACTAACCTGTATAAAATAGATGTATTTACTGCTCCCGGAGTCTTCGTCGGGGTTATAAATGCAGCTTGGGGTCGTCACCGACATTAACTGTTAAAACTAATAAGATGGTGGACGCCGGCCACATGTCAGATTATCACACCAGGCACTTGTTTAACCACATCCAATTTACTGCACTCTACACCAGCTGGTCATAAATAATGTAAACCTATAAAGTATTTAAAACAAGACTGTGCGAAAATGTTTTTAAGACAAATCAGAGATGTGGTTGACACGGTTACAGATAAAACAGTGTAAAAGACGCAATCAGAAACAAACATCAACATTTGTATTGCAGCTCATCCAACCCCTACCAGGCTACAGCAGTAATTATGCTTTACAACATTTACACAATTAATTACCTTCTTTGCATTGCTGTTATGTTTTCATCACCAATTTGTTTTTGTTTTTTTATGCATTTGGTTTTCTAGTTAATGCAAAAGATATGTCACATATTTTGTAGAAGTTAGTATAAAAACTGCTGAGATTGTTACAAACACAGGTATATAGGATTACAGCGATCACTACCGTTACAACAGGTCTCGTTTAGGAAAAAGTGATCGACAAATGCCGAACATACAAGGGGGCTTTTTGTGCTTTCAGTAGTTAGAACTGCAGCCTGAGCTTCAATCACATCCTGGACGTTGATGCTTCTTTTGCTCGGACGAACAAGACAACTCTAAGAGATATTCTGTCATGCATGGACGATGTCTTAAATATACAAAATCTTCACAGGTTATTGCTATCAAACCTCATAGAGATGCATCGATCAATCAGCAAGAGACCAGAATCGGGCCGACGCTCCGATTTGTGATTCGTAAAGCAGATACTGAAAAAAAAACATGATTTTCTACCTGTTAAATGCGTCAAATCTAAGAATTCCCATAATTTACGGCCAATGAATACATCAGCCAAAATCATTCAGCGTAATGTCTTTACTAAAAATGAGAAATAAAAGTAAAATATGCTTAAATGTAGATAATATAATTTCTTTATTTTTTTGTTGGATTCAATATTTCCACCTCTTAAATAAAACTGCAGTAAATCTACTAACTTATGTGATGTCATTAAACTGGGGGGGGAATAGGGATCAGTCAAAATTGGAAAATAAGAAACAGTATTGACCGGGAAAACTCTGATCGGTGCATCTCTTCTTATTACTTCACCGCAATGCAAAAATCTACATACTTGTACTCCAAGAACACAGAGAAATGTGGAAGATTTCACCAACGGGTGAAATTTCTACAAACATGGAAACTATTTGGGGAAATACTTTGATAAAAGAAGGGATTAAGACTCAACTCATCAGTGACAATTCATATAAGCTGGAGGCCAGTTGTGGCCTTTTAGGCAATCACCAAACTGATATCTGACTGAAACCGTTAAAGGAAAACGTATTTATGTACAAAGAGTGTGATGAAAACAAAGACAAATCTTTAGAAGTGGAAAAAAAAAAGGATTTCCAGGAGCACTTCCAAGAGATGGAAGAGGCAGGACCCATAAAACAGAGACGACTTTATACAACTCACTTTTCCTTCATTCCTAGTGTGCTAGTCAATTTTTCTCAGCAGCTCAGTCGTTTCTTCACTGAGTGAAATAAATAACTGAAAGGTTAAAACTTACTCAGTACAACCGACACCTTAATCACGACTTCCTTCATAGTTCTTCCCCATCTGCGGCATTAGCTCTCAGGAAGCCTTCATACATTCATTTGACTTAGCCAATGACAGCAGAGTCTCTGTCGCTGAGGCCGAAGTTTACATCAGAGGGTGAAAGGAAGAAGTAGCTGGAGAGGAGAGTGACAGGAACAGCGGCTGGCTGTGGGACAACCTGTTGCTCGCTTGGTCAAGAGGTGGTGCCTGCTATTCAAGCAGATCCTGCACAAACACAAGACAGCAGAGCACTGAAGCCAGAACCAACACTGTGGGTAAATAAGACACAGTACACATAAAACACACCCAAACTCCGTTTCACAAGTGACATACATGTGTCTAACCTCCAAGATCCCTTCATGGTGTGAAGATAACTAGTTTCTGTGTCGCCTTTGTAAAGGTTGGTGTCGTATTGCGGCGCTCCAGTGTCGAGTCTGGGTGAGGTAATGTCCGCGTCGGGTTACTACATGTTTACTCGCATCAAAGCAGTGAAACACTGGCCTCAGTGTTCCAGCCAAACAAATACAGCTGAGGGATCGTTTGATGGAGCGCTCATGTTAAAAGTAATGACAGTTTAAATGTTGGCATAGAAACAGAGCAATTTTCCAGCCAGTAGTTTGACTAAAACAAGTAATGATCTGATTTTGAACAAATATAATCCTAATTTTACTTTGATAAAAAAAAAAAATTGCACTTTTTCAATTGTTATAGAAATCATCACAATGTCATGTGTTTACTTATGAGATAAAAGAGTTATAATCAATGCTCACTGTTGCCTAATTGCAAATATCCCGAATCCTCAATGCTGATTGGTAGCTATATTAAATTTTGGTAGCCTTAAAATTAACCACATTTTTATATTTTTTCCTCTATGGTTTAACAATACATTTATATAAATTCAACAAAAAAATAATGGAATAAAGTAAAATGAGTCGATTTCAAGCATAACTTTTATTGGCATCAAAGCAGTGAAACCCGAATTGCCGACCAGTTTTCTAAATGTTTCCGCTGGCATGTTGATTATTTATCTTTAGTGATAAGCTCCAATGCTTTCTGGTTGGAAGGCCTCCTTGCCATCACCCTAATGTTTAACTTCCACTACAAATTCCTCTGCACACCGAGGAGCGGACACTTTCACACTTTGTAACAGGGTTTTAAAAGTTAATCTGCTTTTTACCGTTAATGAGAAATATTAGAACTGGACAAATTTGTTGAAGTATTTCAAAACCAGTGACAATATAAGACTCTGTATTTTGTGTTATATGCAGTTGGAACAAATAAACAAGGCTGCTGCAATAGTGCAGTGACATTGCCAACAGTTCAGGAAGTGATGCATGGTTAAAAAAAAAAAAAAAAAAAAAAATCACACATTCACCATAGCTAAAATTTCCACATATTCATCACCTGCAAAAAGGATGCACTTCTCTGCTTATTGCAAATAAAAACCTTCATGAATTCTTTAATTTACTTTCATTGCTCAGTATTTATAATTCTATACAGAAAGAAACCAGCTTATTTTTAGTGTAGAAAACCAGAAGACTGTGTGTGTGTGATATTTTACGTTATGTTAAGGAGAAACCGTTTTTTCCGACATACCTCATCAGAGTCATCGTGAAACTCTATTTTGCCGTTGGGGGCGTGGTTGGTGTCCAGCGGCTCGTCCATCCCGTCTGCAGCGTTGTCCTCAACGTGTTGCTGCAGCACAGAGTACCTGTGCACCAAAAACCTGCAGAACGCATTTAAAACACCGTCAGGAAACCAAAAACCATTCAAAACGTTAGGACTTACAGGGTGAGGAGAGGATGCATTGGGCTTGTGGCTTATGGGGTACATGAGTCGGTAAACACCAACCTGCCGCCGCAGACGTACTTCCTGACAAAGACCACTCCTGCTGCGATGCTCATCAGCATTACGACGACGACTGCCAACACTATGGCCACAGACTTGGAGGAGTGACCGCCTGTCTGCAGAAAACACAAACGGAGAGAAATGTGGGAAATGCAAACTCAAAACCAGACCACGGATAAACAAATGATTGCGGTTCGTTTTCGCAGAGGCACCAACCTGAAACTCTGGAGATACGAGGTCACTGACGCATCTCTTACTGAGGTCAATCTCTTTGCGCTGAGGCATCTGTCCTCCTTCACATTTATCTCCAGGGATTTTCCTGTACCTGAGGACCAAAACACGGATTATTTTAGAGTTGTCCAGCATGAAAGTGTTGGTGTTCAGGGATTTGTGCATAAGAAAACAACTAATATTTTTAACTGACTTCAAAAAAACAATATAAGAGAACACAGTAAAAAATTTAAATCCTTAGTACACATGTCTTAATTATTGGCTGTTCCTTGCAAGTACAATGTGTAATAATAATTGTTAAGCTATATAGCAATTAGAGATGTACTAGTATGTCAGTAAAACTCGCCAAATGTTTAGCTTTGAGCAATATTCACTCTTACAACAAGTTTCACTGTGACCCTCATCAGTTTCCTCTCACCTCTTTCTGCATCGCAATTGGTTCCTTATTCTCACTTGTCACTTCATGCACTGACTCAAAACACAAACTTCCTCCTTGTACCCAGTATGGCTTCAGCTAAAATCAACATCACCTAAAACTCCCACCAATACTCTGGTCAACAACTTTTCCAGAAACCAACAAAGATTACTCACTTAGAAAGCAGCTAAATCAAGTTCTGGAACATTAATGACTCAAGTACAGAGCTAACACACGTGATGCTAATGCATCACGTAGGAAGTGAAGCTTAGCGACGTAATTAAACTCGAATTTGACAGAATCTGAAACCTTACCCGTTGGTCTGCAGTTGCTCCTCTTTGCCATGCAGGCAGAACTCCAGCACTTTGCCCTGCAGGTCCGGCTGCTCCACACACTCGGAGCTGTTCTCTTTACGCGAGTATCCAAAGTCACTGCAAGGAGTCACACGATACCAGGATCAATACTCTCTTATTGGTAAGGTATTCATACCCTTTAATTATTTTCCATATAACAACTTTCTAGTAAAAAAAAAAAAAAAAAAATCCCTGGTTTTCTTTTTTTGTTTGAATAAAAAAAAAAAAATCTGAAATGTGTGACAATAATTCATATTCTGCTATAACCAGAATCTCTGGCCTTGCCGCTTTACTAAGGAGAAGTTTTCCCAAAACCTGATGCTTCCCACACTGACTGACTGTCACTGTGGGGACGATGTGTTCAGGGTGATGCAGTGGTAGTTTTTAGACACACATGGTGCTTGGATTGAAATCAGGATTTGGTGCTATTGCAACAATTTTCCTTGCCACTCCTAATTAAATTACCAGAGTGCATGACTCAGTCATCCCGTCCACAGATTCTCCCCCTCTTGGATGCTTTTTTTCTGATTAACACACTCCTTCCCTGGTTTCCAGTTTAGGTGGACATTCACTGTTAAAGTGGATTTCATTCAGGGGATCGTGCTGCAGACTGAATGACAATGCATGATGCCCTTCCAGGTTTTATTTGCAAATGATTTTGAAAACCATGCATGGCTTTCTTCTAATTCACACGTGTTAGAAACCATTTTGTTGTCGTCTCTTGCATAAAAACCTTATTAAAATGCATCAGCCGCTGTAAGGTGACAAACTGTGGAATAGCCGTGAATATTTGCAAAACCACTTTTCAGCTTTGAACAAGACAAGAAACTCCTTCTCTGTATCTTACCACAAGAAGTCGTCCAGGGTGCATGCACACGGAGTTGGCTGTGTGTTGACGGTGTAATCACGTCCGTTCCAGCAAACCGAGTCCTTTCTGAGCCGCAAGAACGTCTCTTTGTAACCCAGCATGCAGCCGTCCGTCGGGTCACTGATGTCATCAGAGTGGGCCAACCACTGCACATAGTCGTCGTCGCTGCCTACAAAAATCATAACTCAGAGGTTAATATCCTTGAAAACATGCGGTTAGGAATTGGGAGTATTCTCTTTAATTGCATGACTTGCAGTCTCTGGTGAGGAGTTCCCTGAAGTCGATGGTGAAGGAGACCCAGTTCTGGGTGATGAGGGAATCTTTGTAGCCCCAGATGCTGACGTTCATGGAGCGAGCTCCCGGCTCTGACGCCAGCCCCGTGAACGTGATTGGCTCGTTGGTGAATTCGTAAATACTCCAGCACTGTCCTTCGTCGGTGGAAAATCTGACAGATTTACAAAAAGGTTAAAAAGTGCTAAAAATTTTGAATAAAAGTAAGAAAGTCAAGGAAAGAGCAGGATAGAGCTCGCTCGCACAAAGCATCGATCTTTATACGGGTCATGTGAATTAGTAGCCAATCCTGTAATTATAGGCTTGTTTAGTACAGGCTTCAAACCTGCAGAGAGGGATTCGTTGGTGAATAAGTGAGATGCCAAATATTTTATCTATCCAATCACAAAAGCTGCAGAAGCAAATCAGCCCAGGCTTTGCATTCATTCAAACTAAACGACTCACTTGATTTTGTTGATGGGTTTGCCATTGTCCTCCACAGCCACCAGCAGCCCTCCTGAGTCCAGCATGGCGTAGTGATGGGGCCCATTAAGAGCCTTTATCCAGGTGTAGCCTCCATCATCGGACACATAAACATCCGACTTAATCACAGAGATGGCGTCCCCGACGCTGCCTGAAAAAAAAAAAAAAAAAAAAACGCGTCAAAAATGCTCAGCGCGCCAAAAGCGATCGAGTTTGTTTCAAACATTTCTGTCCTGCAGGGTCAACGTGATTACCGTGAGCCATGATTAGACCCACGGCGTTTGGCTCCGTCAGGGGCGGCATGGGGACTTCCAGCTTCATAGCAATGCTGTAGGCCGCATGGATGTGGAGACTGCACTGTAGATTCAAGAGAAACACAATCCAAAGTGACACACGGTTGCTGCAAAGGTTAGAGTCACACCTTAACCTGCAGATGTGCAAAAACATCGAGAACATAAACACAGCAACACTTTGTCTAATTATACCTTGTCTGGGTCCTTGGCTGTAGCGTCACACTTGGTGTTGGCAGGTTTCCGCAGGGGAACCCACTCTCCTCCCTGATCAAAGGACACCACAGACTGCACGGACTTATCTGGAAAAAAAACAAACAAAAAAAACACAAGGAGAACACATTTACAGGTAGCCGAGGGCGAAAGCCAGGAATAATGTTGGCAAAAAAAAAAAAAAAAAAGAAGCTTGATTCAATAAATTCAACACATAAACAGACTAATCAATACAGTGCAAAAGCAGGGATGAGAAACGGGTCTAACAGGGACTGTCTAATTAAATATTTACTTCACACACTTCTGAGGGTGTGTAGTGGAGGAGCAATGTGTGTGAGTCTGTTTCTAAGAAGAATCTGAAGGCTGCCACAGTGTTTTGCTGAAGTATTCACATCAAGTCTTTTAAACCTTCCAGCATTTTGTGATATTATAGCTACAAACTTGAGTGGCAATTTATGTGACAGACCAAAGCTAAAAGCTACAAGTATGCAGGACTACATGGTTGCTAGAGTTGATTGGAGGATTAGCTTGAGTTAAAACAATCCAATATGAACCATTTCACAAGAAAGGATAAGCAATGTTTCTACCTCGAAATTTGGAAATGTGGTGGAGACATAACGCAAAATGCCTGCAGTTCCGTCTACACCGAACGGTGCTTCTACAAAGTATTTGTTCGCATTTTTTGTTCTTCCACTTCACAGTTATCCCTCAAAATTTGTTTGTGAGAAAATGTGAATGCGTGCAAGACGGGTGCAAGTTATTCCAGCAACTGCATACTCAGAAACATAAGGTACCTTCTGCCAGCACACTGGTGATGAAGACTCCTCTCAGGGAAGTGACATTGGTGAAGTCAGTGTCGCCCCCCGTCGTCGTATAAAGGTGGCGCTCCAGTGACTTGGAGTAGACCGTGCCTCGATCATCCGAGACATAAATTGTACCAAAACCAGTATCTGTAAAATAAGATCACACGGGACCTGATGAGGATCTAAAAATAAACACAATAGGGTTGTGTTACACAACTGGAGAATGTAGGCACCAAAATCAGACCTGCAGGAAAATCTAAATGGCATCAGCCCAAAAGGTATTATAGGGATCGGATGAAAACGTAGGTTGCTAATGAAAGTCCTGAAAGTGTCAAAAATGACAAGAAACCGCTACATGGTCTGCTGGTGTAAGCTAAAGCTGATATGAGCATGTTATCAAATTTGACGATCAATACCACAGGCAAAGCTTCGCACGTGCAAAACCGGATAACCGAGGTAACCAATTTGAATGTTTTTTTTTTTTCGCTATGTAAACATCTTACAAAAATAATTCCCTTGCGCCATTATCAAACATACCCATGTCTGCAACAGCTGCATACCAATACTGTTTTATCAAACATCTGAGTTTACTGCTTGCTCTGACCTCCAGGCTCGTCAACGTGCATGAAGACCATATCGTCATTTGCTGCCAGGATGGAGTAGAACTGCTCATGGCCGACCGGAGGGAGCTGAGCCATGTTCCAGTTCTCTCCCTGGTCCACGGACACATGGATCACCCTCATAGTGCCCTGCATGGACGGGGAAGCAAAAGGAGTTCAGGTCAGAGAGAAGCTCATTTAAAGAGCATTTATTTAAAACGTAGAAACTCTAGTTTGGATCACATAAATGCTGACAGCATCAGTGTTAATGTTACGTTCGGAAAAACAACATCAACTCCATTTTTCTGAAGGAAAACTTACTGACTTTTTTTGTTGAAGAATGAAAACAAAAGGAAGAGTTTGGGGGAGGAGGGAATCAATAAGACTTTCTAAAGTTTTTAAGTTTTTTTTCCCCAGTTTCTAAGGAACGTGTGAAAAATTCTTCAGCTTCTGATAAACACATCAAATGGCGAAAGACATTTTTAAAAAAGCACTTTGTAATGTACATTTCTCTATCCAGTTTATGTGAGAAGTGTCACACTTCCTCATGCGCAATATTGGCATTTTACGTCAGTAACTTCTCGTTTCCATCTAGATGTGGAAATGCCTGAAGAATGAATTTTCTTACCAACCTGAACAACTAAAGGCCTCGTCTGATGTTTTAATCACACAGCCTTGGATAAATTCTCTTTTAGACTGACCTTTCCCGTCATTACTGAAGCAAAGAGGAAGCGTCCACCCAGGCCAAAAGAGAAGATCTTGCTGGCAACAGTCTTGATGGTTTTACCCAAGTCTGTGGTTCTCTTTAGCTGCAGCATTCCCCTTTCAACTGAATCATACAGGCAGGTCATTAAAATCATCAGAAACATGGAAATGTGAAACAGTCAGAGCATGTAGCATTTTTGACCAACTCCTCGCCTCATCTGACATTAACTTTTACTACCTTGATACATTTCAGAATATCGTTGGAATCATTTATCCAGTCCTCTAGACACCTAAGATACTTTTAACTACACGTAGCTCAGCCACATCAAAGTATGAAAAGAAAAGCTGGAGGAGGAGTGAAATGCTGGAGCCCAGCATGTTTCAGTTTTGCTTGGGGAGTAATCACTTACTGCAGGATCCATTTTGGCTGCTTGTGAAGAAGATGGTATTTTTTCTTCCCCTACATGGAAATGGAGACAAAAGGAGAGATGGTAAGAGGCTATGAGGAAAAGTTATAGACAGCTCTGTTCCTCATGTTACGAGTTAAAAAGTCAGAGTGGGGAAAAAGTTACTTTGTTTCACTTATTTCTCCGCCGTTATAAATAAAACACACAGCTGAAAGTCTTAAGCGATTGATTAATAATTATAGATATGTAAAATAAAGCAATTTTTGGACTGAGCAAAATGTCTAGACATCACCTACATTGAAGTTTGATAAACTGAATGTTCAAACCAATTTAACTTTTTAATATGTTGTCACATTACAACCACTAAGCATTTTGTTGGATATTATGGGATGATACTTTTTTTTGTTTGTTATGCTAATGCATTCATTCCTATAAAACTATGCTTTGCAGAACACAGTTTTCCGGAAATTACAGCTTCAGGATAGATCTTTTCCAACTTTGTACATAAAAAGACTGACATTTTTGTCTATATTTGTTTGCAAAATGGATCATCTGGCTGGAATTTTCTTACTCTCAGCTCAGGCTTGTCATTTCTGATCAAAAAGGAAAAGCTTCTGCCCCAGAAAAACAGCTCCTGCGAACGCTGTTTTCCACACGTCAGGCGAGTCATTGCAGCCTTAAAACTGAAACTAAAATGCTACAAAAGGTTGCAGAGTGATAAGCAAAAGGAAATGCGCTTCAAAACAACCCTGGACTCCAGAAGGGCTTGGCACCAGCCGAGCAATCTAGTTTTACTGCATGTTTGGCGGCTGATGCAAACCATTTAGTTCATTTCAGATTAGAGTTGAATCCGTCTGACTTAACGCATGAGAATAACTGCAGCACATTCACCATGCGTCGACCACATTTAATCTATGGTTTGAAAATATTTGTTTTATTCACCTCAAACCACAGCAGAGAGAGGAGGAACTAAACTGTCTTCCTATGCTGAAGCTTTTTTACAGTCTAAAATGAAAGAACAGTACTGCAGATTGTAAAAGCTTCTCCACGCATAAAACTATAGTGGATATAAAATGAGTTCAGCATCAGCCGTCTCTCACCATTTAAAAAGGCACACCGTGTCGGGGATCTTCTTCCAGTTGCGTCCAAAATCTTCTGAAAGCCAAAGTTCATTCTGAGAAAGGAAATAATTATATACTCAAAGTTAAAAAAATTTTTTATGAGGTTCAAACATAAGTTGAAAGACCAACTCATAAATCTACAGAGCGTGTTAATAAATAAACACTAAGCAAACAAAGTGGTGTTTAAGTCTGATAAATTAATTGGGTCATTCCAAGTCGAGTCACTCCCTACTTCAACATATTCTCAAATGTGTGTCACATTTGCCTTTTTCCCTAGATGACAGTATGAAATTACGAAAAACCATGACTAATATGTCTGACCAAAAAACATTGTTTCAGTTTAGACATGGGCAAGTTAGAAAGTAACCAATTACAAACTAAAGGTGTCCCAAAACCTTTTTGGAATAAGAATTAAAAACTAGAGCTTCTTTTTTTTTTTTTAATAAATAAAAATCTATTTTAAGTGCGTTTTTATTTATGGAATACTTTTTAAAGTCAAACTTAGATTTCAAGCTATATATAAGAGATGACATTTTGAGACTAAGTTTGGAAAAACAGAAAGCAGTTCTCACCGGTGAGTCAGGTTAACAGGAAGTGAAAAAAGGAACAAATTTAAAAAAAAGATTTCCTAAAAATTCTAAATAAATCTTCAGTTTTAAGCAGTTCAGAGCAGGTTTTGCCATTTCCTTAACTGTTTAATCATCATCACTTCTGCATTAGAAGAATATTAAGCAGAAGTTTGAGATCAGAAGGCCTTACCAGTACTTGGTCTGTTAGCAAAAAACTACTTTTTGAAACCACATATTCAAGAACAGTTGAGTGTAATTTAGCAAAATCATTGAAAAAAAAAATCTAACTAATAAAACAATTAGCACTAATGATATTTAGTTTATTTAGCACTGCTATGAAACATTTAGTTTTTGAGTAGTGTTAGAAGCCCATCAGCCTCTCTGCTAGAGCTAACCAGTCATTAGCTAATCATCTAACAAGAACCTAAATTATTTTTACTCTTAAAGGAAATTTGGACAGTTAGAAAAACACAGTGCTTTTTGTTTCCATTTGGGATTAATAGAAGTATTTTTGAGCCGATATTAATTCACGTCCCTTTTAGTCGCATCATAAATGCTCTGAAAAAATTGGGCTTTCAGCATTACTACTGTCCAACCAACTTTGTTTCTTTCCTTAAAAGTCTTCTGCATGCACTTCTTACACTCATGCTGAGGACGGCCAGCACTTCAGAGTTCTCAGGGTTGTATGAGATTTGCATCATGGGACTGAAAGGCAAGTTCAGGTGGGTAAAAGTCTTCCCAAAGTCCCGGGAGACAAAAATCCGATACCCATCTCCTCCAGAGATTTCAGCTGTCAGGATCACCTAAAAGCCAGAGTTCAAATGTTGCTGTTCAGTGGTTCAGTCTGCACAAGTCAAAAACAACCAGATGAGGTGGTAGCAGGGAAGAGGATGTGGCTTACTTTGCCTGAATTCTCAGGGCCGATTGCTATGCCAAACTCTGCTGAAATGAAGGTGTCGTTGATCAAGTTGGTCACGTCCTCAAACGTCTTCCCATAGTCCTCGCTGGCAGAGAAGAAGTTGCAACAACAATGAGACGTAATCTGACACGCAGGAGGCCAACTTCCTAACAGGCGAGTTTACGAGACCTACCTACGGTAGAGTTTGGACTGGCCGAATCTTAACAAGAAGAAAGGGACCTGAAATGTGGTCAGAGCCAGTATGACCTGCGAAGAACCAAGGTTGAAGGAGACACAAGTAATGTCATACAACTCTCACGCGACAAAAAAAAAAAAATACATTCACATATTTGCCTGCAGACTGAACCAAACATATCTGACTCGATCATGTCCTGATGCGTACAACACTCACCCCGGTGCCATCTCCAACCCAGGCCAGTGACACGGAGCCACTCAGGTCGTTCAGTGTGTACTGGAAAAAAGAGAACAAACAATTGTTGAAGAGTAGCTTAATTGGATGAATGTAAACATCCTTATCACATACAGTAGCTGGCAAAAATGGGACAAAATGACAGTAACCAACACATGTTGACGCAATCGTGTGCATGTGATGTCCAAGTTCAGACGTCAGAGCTAAATGAAACACACAGCACCTTTAGCCACCAACACTTGTTCCTGGTTAGCTCTCATCAACTACAACACACTATATGCGTCATCATTTAACATGAGTATAATTGAACACAGCGCAAGTACCACCAATTCTGCTTACAGCACATTTTGAGAACAATGGATCCAAAATACTTCCCGTAATTTTGATTTTCATAGACCGACCACAAGTTTCCAAGAAATTATAATACAGATGCCAATACCGTTTAGCTATTTTGTTCCTCATAAATTAACATAAATGTAAGAAGATGGTATTAATTGTTGGGCTTCCTGATCCAGTAGCAGATATGCTGCCAGCCAGAGCTTTTCAAACAGCCATACTTAAACGGGTGGTAAATTTTAAGTTGTTTTTTTTTCCACATCATGCCTCTTTGTGTTTTTCACCAAGTAATATTTCCAAGCAGTCATTTTTGTTTTTCCTTGTTCGTGAGCAGGAAAGTGTGATAGCATTGTTTAACCCAGCTGACTGACTATGAACAGTGTAAACAGTACACCGATAACAGACCACTACTTTGAAACTGGTAACACGTCTATTTTAAAATACCTTAGGCTATTATATATATATATATATAATGTTTATTAATTTTCACAGGTTAGCAGCAGATAAAGTTTTCAGAAGGCAGACAGTGTCACCTTTGTCAAGTATACTTTTGCATTCACTGTCAAACATAGACCTGCTGCCTCTTCAAGATTCATTTCTTAAACAACAATTAGTGGGCCCATTACTCATCACACAGTGTGCTGAGAGCTGCTCATGCTGAAAGCAGGCCGGTGCCGGAGGGACCTGCATGGTAACCTCTGCGGAAAGACAAGGCTGAGCCTCGAGGAACTCTCTCGGCCTCGAGATTACTGGAGCCAAGTATACAAAGTACACCATGCAAAAGTTGATCACATGGCACCGGTGAGCCAGGCAAATAAGCAGCACATGGTTCTTATTTAGTCTTTGGTTTTGTTTTTGAAGAATAGATTTATGAGCTGGTCTTCCTGGTTAGTTTTTTTTTTGGTTTGTTTGTTTCCGTCTCTGCTACATAACATCAGTCCCTGCTTCTGAAGTGCTTCAACTACCCCAGCACAAGCACAGCTTTTAATTACAAAATAACCAACACATCGTCAGTCACAAGGATTTCAACTGGTTTCAAATTTCCTGTCAGTGTTCAGGCAGTTTGGCTTTTGGGGCAGGAGAGAAAACAAATGGATGCTGTGTGGTCCAGAAGGAAAACAAATGTGTGTCGCAGATTGTACTAGTGCAACCTTTGGGATGCATAAGCAGGCCTGACTGTTGTTTAACTTGATTTTATTACACTGTACCAAATTCTTACAGGAAATACAACTGCACAGAGGCAATAAAGACGAGCCTCTCTACTTGCAGTCTGAAATTCAGCATGAGGAAGTGAAAAGCTGCCCTTTTTAGTTTTGATTTGCATTTACAATTTGATACGTCTTTGCCTGTAATTTTATATTACCAAAACATACACAGGCCATTGCTGATGAACAAATACTAACTTTTGATCTCTATGAAGCAATTTAAGTCTTTTTTGGGGTGCTCCTGATAGTTTAGAGGCCCTAGTTTTCTTATGCTTCTGGCCTTCTCTCTCTCTCTCTCTCTATGAATAAGAGTTATACCCGTGTGACATCTAGCAATTAAAAATAATAAATAACAAAGCTCCATTTATCTACCATGAACAGCACATTAGGCCTATTCGTGCACCTGGTAAGCACCTGCGCACTATCCTCCCTCCCTAGGCGCAGCTTAATTGTCGGACTGCGACTTGAAACAGGACCTCTGATGGTAACTTACACTGTGGGTGTTGTCTTTTAACTTGCTCTGATACCCTTCGTGCTTTTTGCACGAATCGCCCTGGTCGACGCTCCTTCGCCTTATCCTGTGGTGGTGCGGTGCGCCCAGCCACGACGGCAGGGACCTCTTCGCGATTTGCGCGGCTCTCTTCTCCACGGAGCGCCTCACGAACACCGGCTGTCCGAGAGCTTTGGATCCCGGCTGGAAATCCAAGCCACCGGCTGGGAGAGCGCAGACGGCGAGCAGCAGGAGACAATGCAGCAGGAGTCCCATCCTGCCAGCTGATGAAAGCGGCAGAAGCGAAAGCGACCCCCCCCCCCCAAAAAAAGAAAAAAACACTAAATCCCTCTTTGTTTATCCTGGTCTTGTTGAAGAATTGAAGGTCGCTGCAGCTCCGCCGCGGATGACATCAACCAAACAGTAGTCGTCCTGACAGCGACTGCACCTGCTTTGAAAACCAAGAACGTCCTTGTTTCTCTGCAAAGGAAAAAAAAAATAATAACTACAAAAACAGAAAATTATCTGATTTTTTTTTTTTGCGCACAATAAACCGGTTGGTGTGACACCAATTATTCGCGCTGCCGCTCCACAGCCAACATGACACACTGTACAGCAAGACAAATGGTCTGCATAATCTACTGCTGTGCTCGTTTGTGATTGGCTTCTCGGGCAGCATGGCCAACCCCTTGGCTTTTCTGATTGGTTAAACTATATTTAAAAAAAAGAGGTTGGATGCACAATTAGCTGTCAAAAGGCAGTCAAGGTAGGTTGAGCGATAGCTACTACCATGCATCTCTATCTAGTCTTGAACTTTCTGTCTGAGCACAAAAAGAGCTTCGGAGGAACAAAACGTTGAAAGAGACTTAGAGTCCTTTACTGACAGTTTATAACGACAACAACAGCAAAGCTGCAGCCTATAAATTAATTTAGGCTGCATCGACCTTAGCACAGGTGGTGGTAATTAGAAGAAAAAATAAAAATAAATGAACGTTATACATATGTAGGCTGTTGGTGCAATAGAATGAGTTCATCATGTCAATCATTTATTTACTACTTTTCGTTTATTCCCATCATGATGTAGATGAAAAAGTGAAAATTACTCGAAAAGGTTTTGAGCTCATTTCTGTTATGTATGTGAGAGTTGTCATCAAATAAAGCAAGATTTTAAAACCATTGTCTATTTTATTTATGTGTTTTTATTCAGTTTACTTTTTTTCAGAAATAATAACCAAACAAGGAGATAATTTCTGTCCATTGTTTATTATTGAACCATAGAAGTACCAAATATTGAATCGTTGGCCTTCAATTTCCATATTTTTTAAATTTGGCATTTAACAGCAAAGCATAATAACATGTAAGAGTTCATACATATAGAGTTCATACATTTATGCAAAACGTATCTCACATTCCTGTGTGGGTTGTTGTTCTTTTCAGGCATGCTCACATAACAATGTATTATGAAAAGTTCCAGATTAAGAGAACTATAAAAAATGTTTGCTGAATCATAGTAAATTTGTTCCTCTAACTTGTCACGTGTTGCAAATGATAAAAATTAAATATAATCTCTCTCTTTTTTTTTTGTTTTTTTGTAGTAATACACAACAGGTTCACACGTTCCTGCGCTGGTTCTCATTCTAGTTCCTACCTTCCTGCTCCACTTCACGAGACTCGGTCAATACCTTCACACACAGTTCTGACAAGGAGTAAGAGATGGGAGGAGCAGAGCAGTAAGTGTTTGCGTTTCCACATTTTTTGCTCACAGAGTGGCTCGACCTGCTTAGCAAGTCTGTGAACCAGCAACAAAAAAAATGCTGCATCTTATCGTGGCCCAAAATAAAATCTGTCAATCAGGTTTTAGTCATTTAAGGACAACTTAAGAGGCTATTTTTTATATTTACTTTAAATCATTAACTGTATTCTTTATTATCTTAGTTGTGTCTTACTGAAGTCCCGAATTTGCTCTCATAACCACACAGCTTGTTTGTATGGCTGCATTCCTCCACAGAAAGTGAAATACAGCCTGACCCCAGAGGCAGAAACTACAAGAAAGATAATAATATACAGTATTCATTGAAGGAGACGTGGTTATTGTTGTGGTTATGTCCATTCAGTAAGTTAAGTCTGTTGGCTGTAATGTAAATTATCTCATTTTAATTAATTAAGTATCTATGTGTAGCTTTTTGGACAACCTGATTTTGTCTCTGCATATTTTAACATAGTAAAAAAGGTTTCTTTAGTTTGTGCACGGGGCCTGGCCCAGTGGTGAATGAGGCCTGAAGAAGACTCTGATCTGGGAGTCAATGGGTTAAACACACCACCCTACAGTCAACACTAACAGTGTTTTAATACAGCTTGAACACTGGGCCAAGTTTAGGTCTAAATCAATCAAGGGTAATTGCAACTTATTGGCTATGAAGATCTTTTCTATATACGTTTTAAAAAATATATTTTTAAACAATTTCAGATCTTTTAAATAAGCCTCCTGAAACCATCATTCCCAATAGTAAAACAGGAGGGTTGGGTCTCTTGATGGTCTGGGTGCCAGCAGTGGCTCAGTTCGCTCATGCCTCAGCCCACTTCTGAGCATGTACAAATGTTTGACTGTACATATATTACAGCCTGTATCAAAGTAACAAAACCAGTAAAACCAGTAGTATTTTTTTTTTGTGAAATCTTGTGGAAAAACAAACTGCCCATCACACCCAACCTATTTGTTTTGTAGTTACTGAAATTTCTAGAAATGGCCTCACTGACCAGGTCAGGTATGCAGTTTCATACCAGTGAACTATAATATTGAATTTTTGTTTGTCTGACAATTTAATTACTAAGTGAGACACATTTTGTAGATTAACTGCACAGAGGCTGATGTTTTCAATGTTGTATGTTTTTCAGCAAATGAAAACACAACATTTAAGATTAAAATATTACATCTTTTAAAAATCTTTTTAATGAGAAATGTGTGCTTGATCAAATGGATGCATATTACTCACTTATAATGGGGCGGCATTATGTATTTTCCATTTTTTAGAACAATCAGGTAACTATGTTACCTTTGGTTGTTATAAAATGCTTTATACATCAAACATGACTTAAAAGAAATTTGACTTTGTAATGTGAAACCTTGGAATTGGTCTCTGTGTCTTTAAGAAGCTCCTGCCCTTTCTGACACTCAGTCATCACAACAATTTCCCTAATAAGAACAACTGTTCTTAGAAGTGCTGGACTAAGAAGTAGTTTGTATGATAAGGTCAGCAGACCTGCAGTCCCACCCGATGTTTTCTCTTTGCTGCTGCCACTAGTCTTGTGGAGCTGAGTGGGAAAGTGTGTTCATGCATTTCTTACTGAAGAAATGCTTCAATTAGCCCCACTTACAGTCATTTTAAACCAGATCATGTTAGTAAAGATGAAAAAAGGCACTGCATGCTACGTTAAGTAGTTTATATTAAATTTAAGTATGTACATTGTTAAGAAGAATTTACACGATTTATTGCAACAGTAAAAAAGATCTCAGTCTGAGGTGAGATTAGCAACAGATGATGCAGAAACCACACTTTGACTATAACTGTTTCATGCATTTGTGCAAATATTTTCTTCATTTTTTTCTGGCTAGAGGCTAAACACAGCTACTCATCAGTGGATGCATTGAGGTCAGTGAGTCATTCAGGTGCTTTTTGGCACATTTACAACAGGATGTCATGTGCCTAGCCGAGAGGAATGGCTTCAGACTGCTGCGGAGAGAGACAGTTATTCTTTTGTTACGTTTCTCCCATCCCCACAAAGAAACTCTGGACCTCATTCATGGTGCTTTGATTACCAGTCTAACCAGGTGGCGGGGGTTTTTTTCCCCCACATAAGTGGGACAGGACAGCCAGATGCAGAAAGTGAAATCTGATTTGTGGTAAGAATCTTGGATCCTGCAGAGTTTTGAATACTTTAGTGAAGTAAAAAGTTTTGCTTGTCTTTCCAGATGTGGAAAAAAAAAGGCAAGTAACAGTGGGAGAGAAAGAGAGAGAGAGAGAGAGAGAGAGAGAGAGAGAGAGAGAGAGAGAGAGAGAGAGAGAGAGAGAGAGAGACCACTGTGACATTTAAAAATGTAGAAAGTAAAGTGAGTAGAGTTTCCTTAATCTCTTACCTATCATAATGACAACACCGTTTTTTTCATGGAGCCCTAACATGGAGGCGTTTTGGGGGTGTCAGGTAAGGGGTTAACCATCAAAAGTCCTCTAGGACAAACTCTGACAGGAAGAGGTCTGGCTGACCCAAAGCCACAACTGAATCAGAAGACCAGTTTCTGAGAGTTAACAGATTAGGTGATTAATTGTGGTCGTAGTAAAAAAAAAAAATCTAATTTTCAACTGTGAGAGGAAGATTTCCAGGTTCAGCCTTGACAAGATGAATTGCAAAAAGAAAAAAGAAAAAAGAAAAAGAAAAGCTTTTTGAGCTTCAAAGTTAGAATGAGAAAAACAGGCTTGACTGGGCCATGAAACACTGCTGATGGAGTTCTAAAAACTGGAAGACGGTAAAATGGACTGATGAATGAAAATTTTAAATAGTCAGTTCATCATGCAGGATCTCTATGTACGCTGTTAAGTAGGGGAAAGAATGGTTCCTAGTTGGTCAGGGCTTCATTGTAAAACAAGATAATGACCCAAAGCATTAGTCCAAACTGTGCCAGAACTAGCTCATAAAAAAAAGTGGTAAGCTTGGAAACACAGAGTATCCAGATCAGCCTCCAGACTTAATCTCTTTGAGCTGGGTGTTGAGCCACACACTCATGGAACGTTTCTGCAACAGAAACAGGAAGAACTCTCAGAAGACTCTTTGATCTCTCACGTAGAAAAACATCTACAACTGTGTTCAAAAGGTGTCATCTTTGATGAGACTAAAGTTTAGAATAAATGTTGACCTATGAACTGATTCTGTGGCTTATTTTTTTAACCTCGGCCGCTTATTTGTAGTTTGATTTCACTTCTTTGTGCACTGGGACTTTGAAAAACTGAGGTGTCCCTAAACTTTTGACCAGTTGTGTGAAAAACTTTTTCCCTCTGCGAAGTGGCTATTCATCACAGACTATGGTCACCAGAGCGCTAGAGAGTACTTTCCAGTATCTTCTGGACTGAGAACTCTCATGTTTCTCCAAGAATCTGATGGAGCCACTACCACAAATGTAATCATTCATCTGTAGTCTGATTTTGCATTAGAGAAGAAGACATTTTTTCTAAATCCGATTTAATTCAGAAATTCTTCTCAATAAAACTAATGAAACCCTAGTCTGTATGTTTTGGATAAGGATGGAAAATCAAGTGCACATGACGTGTAAAAGAAAACAACAACAAAAAAATCCCCTTATTTCTTGGCTTTCCCAGCAGCGCCCCCTGCCGTCCCCTTTTCTTAGCGCCTTAACGTCTATGGTCACGTGTCAGCCACTGCAATTCACTGAAAAGTTTGACGCCACACAAGGAGCCTGCAAGGAGCTGCAAGGCCAAAAAGAAGCGGATAAGTTTAATTGGTCTGTTCTTCCCTCGGAGCGAACATGGATTCCGTAGCTCAGGTAACTTCAGGGGCCACAACACTCAAAGGCGACCAGGATATTAGTTTTGTTTTTCAACCAGCAGATCTCCTTCTCAGTTTTGTTTTTTTCTCGATAAGCCCACCTCGGTAGCAGATTCCTTCATGTTTTCTAACATATTCTGTGTTTATGTTTATTAGAAAGTGCTCTCATCAGGATTCACTCTCGACTTTGGACCCCTGAAGGAGCCTCTAGCGTTCATCCGTTTGCTAGAATGGGTGAGTTTTACAGGATTTCTTCACCTTATGGCCTGTGCAGTTCTGTGTGTGTGTGTGTTTACGTGGGCAGCTCATCTCTGCTTGCCAGAAATACCTCACAAATTGATTAGGCAGTTTGTCTTGTGACCCTCCCCACGCCCAGAGGAGTTATTATTTGAGCTTTAATGTGGAATGCGTTACAGTTTGTGGTTTGTGTCGGACTGAATCGTGGCCAAACCTCTGCAGTTTGGAAGTGGGCAGTCGTTTTGAAGCATGTTGAGAAATAATTGCAGTATCTAATATAAACATTTGCAGCTTTCACCCATCCACTGCCTGACGATTTTTTTTTTTACCCTTTCACTTTATTTTTATTTTAAAGTGCGAGAACTGCATTGAAAACCATGTTATCTAGACTTCCTGTCAACATTTTTCATGTCAAATACGAGGAAGTATATGCGCTCATGTGTATAAACGTTAGATCAGCACTTTTCATTTCATCAGCCCCTTCCTCATTTCTTTTCTCCAACTGTGCGTCCTCTCTCTGTGGTTACAGGTTTTTGCTATATTCGCCTTCGCTACGACTGGAGGTTACAGCGGATCCATCAGCTTCAACATCAAATGCAAAGGAGGCAAAACTGAGAAAGTAGATGCGTTATTCAACTACCCGTTCAGGTATGTCCAGGTAATCCTAGCTCACCCAATCAGGGATTGGTCTGAGTTTCTCCTGTTAGAATGACCTCAAGCTAAAAAACTAAACTAAAATCTTAAGCAAAAAAATATACAGATGTAACAGAGTTTTTTTTAATAGATCAGAAAACAATGAATAGACCTGCTGCCTTAAAGGCACAGTCTGTAATAAAAAAAAAACATTAGCTATTCTTTACCTCTCAGATGTCGTATTGCCAAGAGTTTGTAGAAAAAGGAACAAATCCTTAAAACTTAAGAGCTACTCACATTTACCCTACTTTAGCTGCTTTTAGTGATTTAAAGGGGGAGTGTTATGTAAAATCAATGTTTTTTTAGCTTTACACCATGTTCTGATGTTATTTCCTCATAAGAAACATACCTGGAGTGTTGCTTCGATTATATCATGCACGTTTGAGAAATCCTGTAATGTGCCATGGCAACCGTTCAGCTTTGCAAAGCGTGACTCCTCCTCGGAGCTGCAGTTTCCATATTTCTGCCTCACAGCGCAGCCCTCCGCTGCGACTCCCACATTCAGCTCCTTCAGACTAGCCAGCAGCAATTAGCAAACACCTGGTGGATCTGCGTGTCTGCTGAGCTTATTATATGAGCTACTTCTCAGTGAAATGCTGCTCAAAACTTTGAGCAGCAAAGGGTTAAAAGAGAAGCAATGTTGTGGTGGTTTCCTGAAGGTTGGAGCAGGACTTTCTCAAAAAGAGAGAGGCCCAATTTAAAGGCGTTAAATTTCTTTTAAGTCATATTTGACATGTACAGAACAGCTGAAGGCCACAGGTGAAGGATCTGACCGTAAACTCACTGAACCTCAACCCTTCAGCACTATTACACATCTGCCTTTATTTTGCTGTAGCATTAGAGGATATGATGAGAAAGTCTTTACACATCTGACTCCCTAGCAGACACATGGATATTTCTCAGGCAGTCAAACTTTTTATAATAAAAAAATAAAATGAGGTGTTCCACGGCTCAAAATGGGGCCAAATCAAGAGATGCTTCCAAGACATGAGAGGACTTTATTTCCACATTATGATATGTATATTTTTTTGTGAGTGGAAATATTTTCCAACATCTCAGTTTGATTAGCAGTGTGTGGGGAAGGGGTAGGACTCCATTCTGCAGAGACTGAGAGTCGTTCCAGTGCTTTCTCTTGCGTCTTTTTTGAAAGGGTTTTAAAGCACTGCAACAGCACTGAAGATATTAGCCGTGTCACAATGAAAACTTATTTTTAAAACTGTGGTTTCTTAGAAAAAAATGCTTATTTGTGTGCAAAGGTTGATGGACCATCCCTACAAAGTTCCTGATTGTGATTCCAACGTAACGACACCCAAAAGCTACTTCCTGTCCGGAGATCACTCGTCCTCTGCACAGTTCTACGTCTGCATCGGGGTTTTGGCTTTTCTCTACTGCACCGCCTCGCTGATCCTCTACCTGGGCTATCAGCACGTGTACAGACAATCCCCTCGGGGTCCCATCACGGTACGTTTGCATGGATTTCTTGTATTCTTTTCTTGCTTTGTTTAAACAGATTTGATAAATCTGGATCGAAAGGAACCTCGAGCAGGAAATGTCGTGGAATAATTGCAACTACGTCCTCGTCCTGAATCTTACTTGTGCTCGGAGAAAGTGCAGCAGAGTTGTGTGAGTGAAGGACTGTGAAGGGTGTGGTTTACAAGCAAATGAAGGACATCGGTGTTGTGCAAACGTTTCCATCAGGAAGCACCACGGGCAACACTGGAGGAGCAATGTTGCTGTGTTGTCATAAGCTAGTGAGGCGGGTGACTGTGAGGAGTCTCGGCCACAGCAGAAGGAATCTGTTGCTTACTGCCAACATCAGCTTAGAGAAGCTTCTCTGGATTGTTGTTCAGGATTTTAAAGATGTGCTTGTTTCCATTTTGTTTAATTTCTAGGAAATTTTGTAAATGTATATAGCCATAAAAAAACACACACACACACACACACACAACTTAAAAAACACACTCTCAACTGGATTGTAAAGTCTGGATGGGAGAAAAGAAGCAGATGTAGAAGTGAGTAAAAACAAGATTTAATTCGGTTTTTGTTTGAAACAAAAACAAAACAATCTTTTCATGTTCTAAAGCAATGAAAGCGTCATCACCAACAAAGACGGTTTCTTATATTCTCTTATATCCCACGATGTCACCGTTGACAAATGCCGGAGACAAGCAAGTAATTTTTTGTTCATATTTGTCCTTTAAAATGCATTTTTGGTGTATGTTCTTGTTCATCTGCATTTATTTTGTTTTGACAAAGAAAGCATGTGACAAAAGCTTGGGTTGTATGGAATAAACGGCGCCTCCTACAGTCCAAGTCTGCAAAAACTTAGGTTCCTCAGAATCGGCTTTGTTGGCCAGCATTGAGTGAAAAAAGAATGAAAATGACTTCAATTTTCAAGCAGTCGAGGCATGCAAACCAAAGTATAAATATATAAACTTACGAGAAAATAAACTAAAAATATGCAAATCTACTCCTGTCTAGGAATATGAAAAAAATGTTTATTTTAAAACGTGACTAGAAAACAAAACGGATCACTTCCATTTTTCACAAAAAAGGAAAACAAATGTATATTATGTTTTCTTCAATATTTTTTTAAACATTTTACATAAAAATGGAGTTACCTTTCGTTTTGTTTTTCATTTCCTAATTTATGACGAGAACATCCACTTTCCCAAACGTGTCGATACATGTGATTGTTTTTATCTGTGTAGATAATTCGGTGCAGAGGATTTAAAGCAGTTGGTGTTGTCAGATCTACAGAGTTTAATACAAAACAAAAACTTGCAATAATGACATTTTTAGATTCAGTCATGCTTTAAAAATTGGGACATGCGTGAATCCAGGGTCTTTATCCAGGGGTTTACAGCTGAACCCCTTGCGTTCGTTCAGCTGTTTTCATCTTATTTTCTTTTGAACTACATGAAACACATTCAGTGAGGAATAAACAGCTACTCAGATCTGTAGTGTTATGGTTGGTTCAGTCAAATCGGGTAAAAAAAAAAAATAAAAAATTCTGTCTTATTTAACCTGCTTGGTTATGTAGGGCCCTGAAACTAAACACAAGATTAAACCTGTTTTTGTACTTCCTTGTTTGCTGTTTCTCTAGGATCTGCTGGTGACTGCATCCTTGGCTTTCCTGTGGCTCGTATCGTCCTCCGCCTGGGCTAAAGGCTTGACTGACGTCAAAACAGTCACTAGTTTTGAAACCATTTTCCGTTTACTTGACCAAGTTTGCAAGGAAAACACATGCACCCCAGGAGCTGTGCCCTCTATGGGCAAATTAAATTCTTCTGTGGTGAGTTATGACACAGCTCGGCATTTCTTTGCATAAGAAACGGGTTTGTGTGTAGACAGAACTGTTCCATGATTTGCTCAAACAAAGCAACACATACAAAAAACAACAACAACATGGTTTTCAATCAAAAATTAAAAAGGTCTGAAAAGTGTTATGTGCATTTTTTGGCTTTTTATTTTTTTTTTAGACTCTGCTACCAATAAGTAAAATTCAGTGCAACCAGCTTCCTTCAGAAATCATCAGGGTTAGCTTATAAAGCTATATCTCAAGGTCCGAGTGTCGCAGAGGGTCAGGATTTTCTTTCTGAAAAAAAATGAAACGGCTTCACAAAACTACCATCCTGCACTGACACACCAGGCAGCGTAAACATTTGTCAGAAAAGTAGCCAAGAGATTCAAGGTAACCAAAGCAGTAGGAACTGCAGAGAGTCAACACTCGGGTGAGAGAATCTGTTGACAGGAGCAATATTAGTTATGCACTCAACCAATCTGCCCCTTTAATGGGAGGCTGGTAAAGATGTTCCTGAAAAAAGCCAGACGTCCTGCTTGCAGCTTCCCGCATGTTATGTAAAGCAAAAGGCAAGCATGTGGATGAACATGTTCCCATCAGTTTAGGCCAGAGTTAAACAGGTTGCTGGCAGTTCATGGTCAAACATGGTGGTGGCAGCATCACATCCTCATTTTTATTTATTTTTTTTCTTATGCAGGTTCTAAGAAGTTGCTCAGAGTTAATGGGAAGACGGTTAGTTCAACATACGAGGCAATTTTGGAAAAAAAATCTTTAGAGACTTTAGTGGAGCTTCACTAAACATGAAGTTTGTAGCCACAACGGAAAGGAAGATCAATCTGATTAAACTTGAGCTGCTTTGCAAAGATGGATGGACCAAACTGTCAAAGATGTTAGACACATTAATTCTCTCAAAGACTTGTAGCTGTAGTGAAAATTGAAAAGTAGTTCTTCAAAGTATTGCCTCTCTGGAATAATTACAAATTATTTATAAAAGGGAGGTGAAGGAAAATCATGCTTCCTTTTTGGCTAATTTTCAGTTTCTGTCCCAACTCCTCTGCAGATATTTGGATTCCTTAACCTCATCCTGTGGGGAGGAAATTGTTGGTTTATATACAAAGAAACCCCTTTCCACAAGACGAACCAGCCTGCCAATCTTGAAGGTGGAGCGTAACTGCACGGCTCCCTCGTTTCAGAAACGGTCTGATATGTGCAACTGACTGCATTTTTTGCAGAAAAGATTCTAATTTTGTGTGTATTTTTTTTTTTTTTTTGCTTAACCAGGAATTTATTTTTGTCAATTCATCTCAAAAGGTACTAAACTGTATTGCTTAGCCAAATATTAATACAGACTGACCCGTGTAATACTAAAGCATGCAGACTTTTGAGTTTGTAGATATAACACAGGTACAACTACAAAACTTGCTTTAACAGCTGCACACCTTTTTCACAGAATGCTGTACAGTATCTTTGTTCAATGCAAATTTTCTACAATTGTATATTGTACAAAACTCAGGGCTGATAAGAATATTAATCAGACTTCCAGTTTCAGTTCAAGTACTTGAATGTGTTTAGTTAAAATGAAGCCCACGTTTAAATTATATAAATGCCACTGTGAGATTATTATGTAAAGGTCAGATAGTTTTTTTTTTTTTCTTTCTTCATTTTGCGGTAATTGCCGTTACAGAAATGGTAACACTTCTAGTTTAGACTAACATCTGAATATGGCGCTGAATGCGGTGCTTCTGTTGAATCCGTTAAGAACATTTTACTGTTACAGTTTCAAATAAAAAACAAAAAAATTCTCGTTACATAAGATATACTTTCTCCTTTTCTTTTTGGAAAATGTCCAAGCAAATGTATTTGCAGGGTTTGTGTTTGCTTGTACTATTGTTTAATACAATTAATTGCTTTAACAGTTGAGATGTGTTTAAGTTATTCCTGATTCACTTCATGTCTGTATCTGTCTTGCCTCTCTATCTGCTCTTTGTCATGAGAAAAATTAATTTGCCAAGAAAATTTTTGAAAATTTCTAAAAAAAAAAAAAAAAAAAAAAACTATCCGCATTTCATCCCCATGTCTTCCGTCGTTGTTTCCTTACAGTTTAGTTGAATTTTGCTTATTTGGAAAATTTTTCTTTGCTTTATCTGCTTAAAACATTTAGTGTGATTGCTTGAGAACTAAGAGAGCTTTCAATATGTATATTTAGATGTGAGTAACAAACCTCTGATTAAGTCAAATGATGCCAAACAACCTCAGGTTCTGTCACAAAAATAAATTATTGCAAATGATGAGGCAGGTTTTCTGTTGCGTAAAGAGGAGGTATTATGTATTTTCCAGGTATGTAGTGCCATTTTATAGCCCAATAAAGTAACTATACTCCCTTCAATTGTTATGAAAATACTGGATATGTCAAACATAAAAGAAATTAATAATTTAATGCTTTGAAATCGGCCTCTGTAAAGCTCCTTCTCTTTCTGACACTTCAATGTCTTCAACACAACAATGTCTGTCCATTATGACACGATATTCACTTCTTTCCCCAAGCATTCAGTTAAACTGGGCCACTACCATGCAGCTTAACTTTATTTCTCTGGAACCAATTTATAATCTTCAGATCCGTTTAGGACGATTATTCTGCTGGGAAAAAAAAAACATCCACCACTGTTACATTGTCTGATTCTTATGATTGTCGCACTGAATTTTCTCCAATTATATGATGTTTGCCGGTACAGTGTGATAAACCCTCACACCCCACACCACTGTGTTTGGAGTGATGCGAGGTGTGATTTCTCCTTCTTTTTCTTCTCATCTTCTGTTGCTCTCTGGGAGCAGATATTGACTCTTCATGAGTTTTCCATTTGTTTTGACGACTGTCAGAAATTCAGAGCACCTCTTGGCTGATTTATGGTAAAACTACCTTGTTTAAATATCCAAATGTTGACCTCAACAATCGAGAAGCTTAGAAATCTTGCTGTCGCCGCTACCATCAGTGTGTTTGATCCCCTTCTCCTTTCTTTATTCACACTCGTGTATTAGATTATAAAGAATCCTTTATAAATCGTTGCAGGTGAACATTAATGGTTGTACGATGCATGTTTTACCACCAGAGGGCAGTAAAACACATCTTGTGATCAATAATTTAGAGCACCTTGACTGAGTTATGATCTATGAGAAAGCATCAAAGCCAATTAACTGCATATTAAATGAATGAACAAATTTTGATAAAAGGTTTATATATGGTGCTATGAGTGTAGCACCACCTAATCCACAGATTTAACCCACTATTAGACAAAGCAGATCAGAACTTTGTAGTAAAGTCAGCATCACATTTTAATTGCCTTATTATTTATAGACAAATGAAGACGCCACAAGGTGTAAAACTGTATCTTTTATTATGTCAAATTATTGTGTATTACTCTTCTTTAATGCCTATAGTCTGCAGCTATCCTGCAGCCAGAGAAGCTTTTAAGCACACCATGCAAAGCCATTATCCTTCAGCTACGAGGCCTCTGACTTTTTATGGCAGTGACCAACCTTATCATTTTTAAAGTTGTGGTCAATAAACACAGTGCTTTCAGTGCTGCTTAAAGCTCCCTTCGTATGCTATGGCCTCAGATAAAAGCAACAAGCCTTCTACCTCACCTACTCATGGCTGATTGCTACTTTATAGCTATGGATGAAAGATGACTATGTGCAGCAGGGTAGTAAGAACGCGTTCTCTTCCCTTTTTAATCTGGCTGGATTTATCTAAACTTGAGGGCAAAGAGCCTGCAAGGTGTAGCAAGAGTGGGTTTGATTGTTTTGCTTTAAAGATACTGTAAATGTGAGCAAGTTAGAGACGTTACACAGTCCTGAGGAAATCTATTTATCAACTATTTAATGAGCTTTTCATACCCTCTTGTTTTTCGGAAATTCAGTAGATCCCTCCGTTTCTCATTTCCCTTGCTCACCTGCCAGCAGCTCCCTACATCGTATGACATAACAATATAGTAAAAGCACTGTGTTTTTAATTTCTTATGGCTTTAGGAACAAAAAAAATCCAATACTGATTGAGGCTACATACAGTCTAGTCACTGCCGATTAGGATTTATATCCCTTAAGTTATTTAAAAAAAAAAGGAAAAGAAAGAAAGAAACCTGGCACTCTCTACACGCAGGTTTTGATACCATGTTTTCTGTTTGCCCAGCCATTTCAATAAAAAATAATTCCTACCCTGCTTAAAAATAAACATTTATAATAAGACTTGGATGTTGGAACAGCTAACATTAGCACAAAGGCAGACAAAATGCAAAATGAACAGTATTGGAATATACAAGAATACAGTCAGTACATCAGAACAGTACACAGCTAATCAATACTAAACGCAGACTGTGAGTCTTAACACATACATGTATATATATATATAGATAGATATTTATATTGTTTATATAGATATACACAAAGGCAGATTCGCTTTGGAGAAAAACAGCCGAGATTTTCCCGTTATGTCAGGACCTTTGCAAAAAGCACTTAACAAAACGCTATAGAGATCTACGATACCAACTGTGGAGGTCGAACGTCGGAGTGGATCTAGTGGAAATTTATACCCTTCCTGATGACGGTTGATTAATGTGCCGAGCTACTCAAAAGCCACAATATCTGTTTGTGATCTCAGCTTCTCACGCCGTCTTAAGTGACAGCACCATGATGGATAAAAAGCACACATTTCAGCTGCAAAAGGACAAAAAAAACAACAAAAAAAAACAAGTAAAACCCTTCAAATGGATCTCTCTCTAGGACAAATGCTATCCGTCTGTGAGGGTTATGTATGCAGCTTTTTTTAAGAGTGGCTTGGTATTTTCTGCTGCTGTCTGTTTCTCCACCTGGTGTTTCAGCGTGTGACAGAGTGATATGATTCGCGCACACCACCTCTCTGACAAGTGTGACTTCCTTTTCTCACCCACTCAGGAGATGCTGCTGTGCATGCGGCAACTGTGAATATTCCACCAATTCTGCGTAAGAAAACATTGCACCAGAAATGTGTAAATTGATTTTTTTAGTTTTTTTTTTTTAAGTTTCGAAGATACAATTTTATGTATTTATAATCGTTTTAGATATTTTTTTTGTTTTGTTTTGAATAGCAACTCGGAAATAAAGGAAATTTGGTATTGTGTTGCACTTTCCGACCATATGACTCAGTTGGGAGCGAAAACGCTTGATGAAAGCTCCAGGCAAATTGCAGACTTCTTAAAGGGCATCGCATTCATTGCTGAGTGATTGCTTTCCAGCCTAAGAAAGGGCAGCTTTATAATGACCGGGAAAGACGCAAACAAAGCAAACACATCTGGGCTGAACTGAAGGCTGTCGGTATACATGAAGGCAAAGAAAATGCCTCTTTTTGTGTCGCGGTGACTCACGACAACGCGATCGATCCCTGCTGGTTCAAGGAGAGAAAGGCAGACTCTAACTTCTTCCAATCAAAAGATAAAATTAGGATTTACGCCCATCTGGCCTTGTTGTGCTGCGACATGAACCCAGTTCAGTTTAATGAAACTGCTCCTTCTGGATGAACCAAGGCGTTCAATGTTTAAATAATATTCTAAGGGTATTTAAAGGGGTTTTTCAGAATATCTGAAGAGATTTAAGCAGTTATTGTGTCTCCAGGAGATAAATCTCTGCAGGACAAATTTGAAGGAAAAAAAAAACACAGTCTGCTGCATTTTATTCTAAGACAGAGCAATATTGATGCTCTGGCAGGAGGTGTTAATTTTAACTACCTCTGAATTCAAAAGAAGGAGCAAAAGCAATGCTGGGCTTAAGAGTCTCCCTTAACAACATGGTTTCCTCATCCCTCTTCATCATCAGCTTCCTCACCTGAAGGGTCAGGACAGAGTGATATGAATGTCAATCGATTCTAAACGAAACGTATAAACCATTTTGGAAAACAACTTTTAAAATCTCTGTTACCAGAAAAATGCTGTAAAAAAAAAAAAAAAATCTCTATTTTGCAAAGTATCCAGGTTCGTATGGGCTTCAGCATGAATCCAGTTAATGGCTACCCCGAAAGGGGAGTTGATCAAAGCAGATTTAACAGAAACTCCAATCCTGAGAATCTCATAGGCCTTAATAAGAAGTATTTTAAAAATCCAACAACTTGTTTGAACTAGGCAGTTTTTTTACAAAACAAATTGAGGAGAACGTAACATGTAGAAAGTTTCCAGTCAAGAAAAAGTTTTGGCATTAAAAAAAAATAGTGGTGCATCAGTAATGATTTTTCTTGATTTTTACACTGCCCGACCATTTCTACTCAGCATTTACTCAGAAAACATCCTGCTGCAGGTAAGACTCTTATCGTTTTAATTTTGTATAAATCCAGATGAGTTGGCACCGGACAGTAAATCCTAACAGCATGACACAGAGGAGCCAGGACCAAAACAAACTTCCACAGTCTTAAAACAACGTTTAAAGATGTCATAACGGTTTATTCAACCCCATCTAATAAACTTTTAAAACATCCTCTTACTTGAATTGTCCTGTCATTGGCAGAGAAGCAAGTAAAAATCTACATAGGAATAGACCTATGAGGTATTGAATAACTATTGTTCTGTTTGAAAAAAGAACCTAATAAAACATACATTTATGTACTTTTACATGGAGAACCAAGTCAGCATCTGTTTAATGAAGGGGTCAAGATTAGGGTCAGGTCTAGACATCAGAGATTTATTAACTTTAATAGGACAAAGCCGTAAGTCTGAGAACGTAGGAGCCTAAAACAGAACCTGCAGGTGGATGCTCCTTTAAAGAACGCCAAAATGCAAACCTAAATACGGCTTAAATCTAAAAAAAAAAAAAAAAAAAAAAAAACGTTTCCATAAACGGCTCGGACCATTTCGACTTTTAAGTCGTTTTAAAATGGTAGACATGTTTACCACTTTCGGACT